ATCAAGACAGATCAACTTAAAAAGCAGAAACAAAAAAGAAGGGTCTCACAAATAATGGGAAGACGAAGAAGTACCCCCGACTCGAAGGGAAAGGAGGAATCCCCAGAAAGAGAATTAAATGAAATAGAGGCATGTAAACTATCAGATACTGAGTTCCAAACAACAGTTCTAAGGAAGCTCAATAAGCTCAGTGAGCTCAGAGAGAATTACAAAAAACTACAGGGAAACTACAAGGAACTTACTGCAGACTATATCAGCATGAAAAAGGACATAGAAACTATCAATAAGAGACAAGAGGAAATGAATACAGTTTCCGAATTGAAGAACACAGTAGAAGGAATCAAAAGCACGCTAGATGAAGCCAAGGGTTGAATCAGTGAGATGGAGGACAAGGTAGAAAAAAGCTCCCAGAAAGAGCAAGAAAATGATAAAGGACTCAAAATGAGTGAAGAGGCATTTAAGGAAATGCAGGACAATCTGAAACATAATAATATCTGTATAGTAAGGATACTAGAAGGAGAATAGGATGAGAGGAAGGGATAGAGAACCTGTTTGAAAAAGTAATGATGGAAAACTTCCTTAACTGGAGGAGAGAAAAAGTCACACAAGTCAGGAAGCACAGAGGGTCTCACTCAAGAGGAATCCAAAGAGGCCCACTCCAAGACATATCATAATTAGAATGGTAAATATCAAAGACAAACAGAGAATCCTAAAGGCAGCAAAGGAGAAAGAGGTAGTAATTTATAAGGGAGCCCCAATATGGCTAGCAGCTGACTTCTCAGCAGAAACACTGCAAGCCAGAAGGGAATGGCAAGAAATATTCCAAGTCATAAAAAGCAAAGGCCTGCAATGAAGACTGGTCTACACAGCAAGGCTCTCAATTAAAGTGCAAGGTGAAATAAGGAGGTTCCCTGACAAAAGAAGGGTAAAAGAATACACCTCCATCGAACCAGCATGCAAAGGGACTGCTTTAAGATGAAGAAAAGGAGTCTGTGAAGACCCAATTCCTTTCACAGTTGCCAATACTTGATATTACCAATATTTTTAATACTTCTTAATCTGATTGTGACAATGATGTGTTAATTGTTCCTTTATTATTTGTTGAAACTAAACCTGTTTTTGTATATTTCTTGCCTATTTCTTTTATTTTTTAAAAAAGCTTTAAATGACTTTTTGGTATTCTTTACCCATTTTTTGATTAAATGTTTGTAGAATTCTTTCCCTAAAAAAAACCCCCCAAAAACCCCTCAACCCTTTTTTAGATGTGTTGCAAATACTTTCCTATTCTATTACTTGTCCTTTAACTTTTTCAATATGTATATTACTGTGCAGTCTTAAATGTTTAATACAGTCATATTGTCAATATTTTACTTTATAGCTTCTGGGTTTGAATATTTTACTTCAGGGTAAGAAAAATATTAGTCTGTATTTTCTCCTAAAACTCCTTAGATTCTACATACTGATTTTTAACTCATCTGAATATTTCTTGTATAATGTGTGAAATAGGTCTCTATATTTGTTTTATTTCAAGTAATAGTGGTCCATGCACCTTATTTGTTGAATAAGCCTTATTTTACCCATTGATTTGAAATATCAACTTAATCATATATTACATTGTTAAATATATACATTTGTCTCTAGAATGTTCATTGTATTTCATTGATCTACTTGATTATTTCTGTGCTGGTGTCATGTTGGTTTAATTGCTGAGACTTCATAATTTTAATTTTTTAATATTTTATAATTAACTTTGACATTTAAAAAAATTAATAAAGTCAATCTGCACTTAAGAAAGAAAAAGAGAAAGAAGGAAAGAAAAAAAGAAAGAGATAGATAGATAGATAGATAGATAGATAGATAGATAGATAGAACTCCTACCTTTTGCGACAACATGGATGGAACTGGAGAATATTAAGCTAAATGAAATAAGCCAGTAGAAGAAAGACAAATAGCATATGATCTCACCTACAAGTGGATTCTATTCAACAAAATAAAGTAACAAACAAAATAAACCACAGGCATGGAAACATGGAGCAGACAGAAATTGACCAGAGGGGATGGAGAGAGGACAATGGTGGAAAGAAGGGGAAGGGACTAGACAAAGAACATGTATGAATGACCCATGGACATGGACAACTGAGTGGGAATTCACTGTGGGAGCGAGGGTTGGAGGAGGGATGAGTGGAGGGGGTAAAGGGGGAAAAGTTGAGACAACTGTAACAGAATAAACGTGATTTACAGATTTTTTTAAAAAATTAAGCTTTCCCTTAAGCAGGATTGTGGAAGAATTCAGAACCTAGCACAGTGCCTAGCACATTACATGCACCCATGAATATTTGTTGACTAAATTATGGCATTTGATTCTTTTCCTTTTGTGAGGTGTAATAATACGTCACTCTTTATTAAAGCCAGATACTTTAGACTTGGTATTTCTAATCCTACAACAACCCTACCATGTGGACATAGTTAGGTGTCTTTATAGGTGAATTGGCTCAGAGAAGTTAAGTAACTTGCCCAAGGTCATGCATAGCTAGGTAGTAAGTGGTTTTTCTGGGATTCAAACCCAGTCCTCCTGTAGACCAGAAGTTCTCAACTCAGGCTAACCATCAGAACCACCTAGCTTCATCTTAGAACTGAATCACTAATCCTGGACCCAGCATCTGGTTTTTTTGTTTGGTTTTTTTTAAGCTTTTAAATGTCTCCTCCAACCCCTTCTCATACTACAGATTGGGTAACTGCGTCTGAGAGAGAGAATCCCACAGCTGAACCAGGGCTCAAATGAAGAGTTTCCTAATCAAGTAATGCCCTCTGGGAGTTTACTTGACTTGGACTCTTCTTCCACTTTCTGTGGCACGACACCCGCAAAGGGGAAGGGCTCTGCTCACAGGCAGTCCTTGTCTGCCCCCTAGTGGGCTAAAGTGAAAAGGAGTACTACTTTGGGCAAAACTTAATAGTTACAGGGTAAAACACTCTCTAGGCTCACTACTGTATTGATCAATCCAAATGCTTCATGTAAATTTATTTAAGCAGGGTCTTAAGTGGTGGTGCTTCGCAGCATCCTCACACTTGGAAGAAGAAAACAATATCATAAAAACAGAAACAGCACCTCTCTGAATTGGTGCAGTGCCTGGCCTCCACTTGCCGTGAGGTCCTCCCTCGCCTAAGAACTCAGGGAGAAAATTCGAAAATCTTACTGTACCTTTTATTAACGCAAGAGAGTCTTGTGGTTCATCTCACAGGTTTTAGAGTCAAACACACCCAAGTACAAATTCTAACTCCACACTTTACGAATCTTAAGAACTTTGATGAGCCACATGGCATCTTTAATCCTCAGTTTCATCTGTAAATTGTCATTCTAGTGCCTTACTCATACACTTGTGAAGATTAAATATGAATGTAAAGGGCTTGGCACTGTGCCTGATGTGTATTAACTCCCCTCCACCTCATGCCCACAAATGATTATCATTATTACTAAAATGGACCACGTTACGAGGCCTGGAAAAAACTCTTAAATGAGAAATGAATGTTTTCACTGCCATCTTATATTATCTCTGCACTGGGGTCTGCTTCTCCTCACCCCTGAGAGAGAACCGCTGGCTCTCCACACTCCCTTTCACTATAGCCTTCCATGTAATCTCTCCCTGTGAAGTGAATCTAGAACTCTGATTTCCTTCATCAAAATAGATTTGCATGTCACCATATTCTCATTCTTGGAGAATCTCATGTGAAAAGGATAAGGAAATGAGAAGAAGCCAGCAAAGGAGACTGAGGATGTGCGACTTATGCAGCGGGAAAGAAACCAGGAGAGCGTGTTATCCTAAAGGCCACAGAGTATCTCAAGTTGAAGGAAACAGTCACTTGGGCCAAATGCTGTAAGAGGCTGGGCAAGACAAGGTCCTAGAAGTGACAATCAAATTCCATAAAGTGGAAGTTCACTGGTGACCTTGACAAAATCAATCTTGATGTGGTGGCTGTGAAACTCTGAGTGAAGCAAGGCATTTGATACATCAAGCACAGACTGCTCTTCAGAGAAAGTCTATAAAGAGAAGTGAAGACCTGGGGGAAAAAATAGTTTCTTTATTAAATGGAAGAAATAAGAACATATTTAGCATGCTGATGGGAATGATCCAGTGTGAGGGGGAGGATGATGATCTGCAAGGGAGAGGGAAGAGGTGCTGGACCAGGATCCTTCAGGGGCGGGGGACCGGGAGGGAGCCTTTAGGATAACACATGTGGAGAACCTTCCACAGAGCAGCGGCAGGGCTTACTTATGAGAACGAGGAGGGGGCAGAGTCTAGGCTCATAGATGCCCTCCGGTGGGTGGATGGAGCGGGAGCCCCCACACAAGTCCTCCCTGGATGGAGTGTCTTCTCAGTGCAGTGGGCAGCCAGGTCATCAATGAGAGTAGTTGTATGAAGTAAAATAAAGTACCATCAAGTGAGCAAGTTTTAGGAATATAACCCAAAGAGGGATGACGATGATGTCTAGTGGGTAAGAATCTTTGCTCAAAACACTTACAATGAGGTTCACATGTAACTTCAGCTGAAACTCAAATAAAAATAAACACAATATGTGATGCTCTAATTTTTTTTTATTTTTTAATAACTATTTAAACCACTCTACAAAATGCTCTATAACACTACTTAAGAAAACTTTTGAAACATTTAGGATGGAAATTAGACCCCATTTTCCTACCCATCAAAACAGCATGCAAATACTTCTTTTCTTAGAAGGTACTTAGCATTGTGGAATTACTAACAGGTGATGGTACATTTTAATTCCATATACCACAGTGATATTTACCACAAGCATGTAACTTTAAAATACAACACACATTTCTTTTGAACCATTTCAGATTAAAGTGTTTTGGTTTGTTTTTTTTTCTCCCAGAAGTTAAAACTAAGCACAATCTCCTCTCCCCAAAGTCTCGAGCTCACAGAGGATTTGTACACCGACCACTCCTGGGCTTCCTCATCCAGTGACGCCGATGGTTCGTGTCATCACAGGTAGAAGAGGGAATTGGCTAACTCCAAACTTGGTTCTTTGTGAATGCTTTGTGCGACGAGGAAGGTCAGCTTGTGCGCATACTGACACGGCGCTGGGATACTGATTAAGCCCTGAGAGGAAAACGTACGGGTGGTAATTAAGAGGATAACTTGTTCTTCAACGTGATTTTTTTCTCCTAAGATTCTTTCCTCCACTAGTTACATATACAATGCAATGTTTGTGAAGAAACAATAACTAGACTCAAACAACAAAGGGCACCCTGCTCACTGGAAACTTATGCTCACTGGGCAGAACAGGGTGGAGCCCAGCCTGGCTTCATGGTGCTGGGCGCTGGGAGCTGTCACACTTAGGACTGATCTATGATTCCTTTGATAGAGCGTTCCAAGGGGCTCAGAACAAATCTTGGACTTGGACTCTGAGAGCAGCTCTTGGCCTCAAACACAGGCACACAGAACAGGGCCAGGCCCACTACCTTCCCACCACACGTCTGAGCTGGCCTCAACTTCCTCATACGCAACATGGGGATAACAATACCCTCATTTCCTCCCAGGTTTGCATAAGATAATGAATGTGTACAACAAAGCCCTCTGGAAATTATAAATACTAATGTATCAATACTGATTGCTATTTCATTTCTAGGACAGACTGGGTTTCTCCCACCGTGGACTCAGGAATCATTCATTCATGCATTCTTCCTCTGTGAAATTCAGGTGTTGTGCCAGCGTCGGGATACAAAGGTAAAAGGATACCAATTTCTGGGTGGGAAGCTTGAGAATCAGTACTCAAGGATCAGTAACAGCTGTCACTCACCGGCCAGTTGTAGTACAAGTGGCACAGTTTGAAGGTAAGTCTCTGCATGTGGTCAGGCTTCAAGCCATTGTCATCGTAGACGACATTATAATAAGTAGGATTCACAGTTCCCCGAGAGGCAGCCTGGCTGACCAAGTAAAAGTCGTACCTTAGGGAAAGATGAAATGAAAGCGAGAAAGAAGGCAAACAAAATAAGGCCAAATCCGAACAACACACAGCAAATGTTTTGTTAAAGACAGGCTTTCTAAGAGCACTTGCCATTCAGGACGCGTGGCTTCTGAATCCACCACAGTGCCAAGTGGTGGGTTCTGTACGGCATGGTTCATTTCCACAAAGAATCGCGGCATGCACTTCTTCCTGACCACAATGACCGACAGTCTGGAGCTTGGAACCAGAAAGACGAAACAATAAGACAGAGAAAACTAAAACCAAACCATGCAGCCTTCTGTCTCTCTGATTTGGTCATTTTGAGGGAATAAGTGAATTAATAAATTCATTAGGAAAACTTTGCAAAAACAAAGAAAATAAAAGTAACGCCCAATTTCTCCTTTCCCAGAATCATATATTATACAATTTTTTAGTTAGGGATTGTCCTCATTTGCTGCAAAAGTGTGGCAGTCATTGGCTCGTTTGTATCATTTAAAGAGGACAGGGAGGAATGGTTGATAGGGCAATGAACTTCAATTAGCAGTTCTAAAAAAGATTTTCCAGAATTACCTGTAGAGATAAGACTTTTTTTCCCATTAGCAATAGTCCCCCTATTTTCACCTTTAGTCTTCCTCTCAATTTCTGAATAGCAAAGGGAGAACCACACGTCCCTCTTACTCCTCAAATCACCACTCCTGCATATGCTCCTAAAAAGATGGATGGATGGATGGATGGGCCAAACATACATTTGGGCCAAATGCTGAATAACCAAGTGTTAAAGTCAGCATTTGATAAAGCCAAGGCCAAATCCAAATATTGGTCCTCATGGAAGAAACCTGTGGGATGCAAAGGTCACTGTGAAATTTCACGTTAAGCATTTTAATTATTTAAAATATATCTCATTTGTTTCCAATATTGAGATTTACAAGTTGATGTCACAGTGCAAGAAAACAAACTCTTTGGCACTGTCGGCCTGCCCTAAATTTCATCTTGTGATTCTGAATAGATACATTCACCTGAGGTCAGTGAGGAGTGAGAGATTTTGGTTCTGACAGTTTGGATGCAGTTGAAAGTGATATTGTCCCCAAGCTAGTATGTTCTCCTTCCTCAGAGTCACTGATGAGGGCCAGACTCAGGTCCTTTGTGGCTCTTGGCTGCCACACTTGGTCAATGGTGGCGATGGTGGCGATGGCAGTGTAACCCTACAGGTGGAGTGCTGCACACTACTTGGAAGCGGATGCTTTCTAAATATTTTAGGATTATCATCCTACCCCATGTTCCAGGTCTAATAATTTTCTTGCATTTGTCACTTGACATAATCAATGTTGTACTGAAAATGTTGTACTGAAACAGGAAGTCTAGAAATGTGACAATGGAGCAAGGTGCCTGGTGTTTAGGATGCACTGATTTCCAGAAGCAGCTCAGGGCTCACAGCGCTCACTCCTCTCAGCACCTGCCGTAGGCCTTAGCTGCACAGCAGTGCCTGTACTTCGGAGGCTCAGCTCTGCGTGTGGATCTGGGTCTTGAATTTGAAGCCATAGCTTGTTTTTTCCCCATGGCACATTAATATGTATGAAGTGTCATCAGCGGCCAGCAGCACTGCAGGCCTGCTGGATCTGTGTCAGCTGCTCTGCCTGGAGGACGTCACCGGCCTCCCTCCAAGTGCCACCACCCCAGGGCCCCGAAGCTCACACCACCTAGGCTATTTCCGTCAGACCATCCCGAGTACCCTCCAATCTAGGGGAAATCAATTTGTCAGATGTGGAAACAGAGAAAAACTTAACTGCAAAAAAAAAAAAAAAAAAAAAAAGATATGCTGCCATAAAGTAATTCTAATAGAGAACGATGAATGTGCTATAATTGTGGATGTGGAGAAAAAACAACAGTTCCATACCTGGTACTTGAACTCCCTTCTGTCACACTGCTCAGCAGCTGTGGAACTTCATATTCAATAAGTGTTTTTAGCTGACCATTCCCTACACCATCACGGTACACAATAATCCGGGCTGGCAAATCATGATTGTACTTGTACCATTTATTGAGTGCTCCTGCAGGATTTGGTGTAAGAAAAGAATGACTTCTCTGATACCAACAAAGAATAAAGTCCCCGTTAAATATCAATGTTTAAATAAGTCTGCTCTTTCAGACCACGGTGAAATAGGGTAGTATCTACCTTGTATTTGTAATAACATAAAAACAGGTAACTTTAAGGAACATTCCTGCATCTTTGCTATTTGCGGAATCATAATGGTTTCTATGTCATAATAGATTCTTAAACTTAGCATATCACTTTAGTATAATTTTAACATTAAGGCAATAAATTAAAATTTAATTCATGCAATAGACATAAAAATTCCCCAAACCAAATACTAATGTAATTTATTCGTGTCTAAATCCTCTCAATAAAAAGAGACTGAGTAATTTTAGGTCATTTTCTTCTCAAATGAGCACAAACATGAACACATAAGAAAGACCTTGACTGTCCGTCTGAAAGCATCTCTTCACATGGACTCACCCAAGTAGATTCCACATATCACTGACAATACAACTTTAAAAACATTTCTACCCACTCTACTAAAAATTACCTAAAAAGCAGAGACCAGACAGTAACTCTTTCCCAAAAGAAACTTTTCATAACCACTAAAAAAGAAAATATATATACATATGCATATATATGTATGTATATGTGTGTGTGTGTGTGTGTGTGTGTATTTATCGCCAGGTTTTGAAGTGAGGAGAAAGTAATAAAATAATATAATAAAGATTTAATGATTCTTTTTGTGTATATGTTATATATTCAATTGTATTAGTTTATGGTCCAGGAAATTCATTTTAGTTTGATAGAAGAAGATCATATATGTAACTCTATTACCAACACATATCACCAAATTCACTTTTTTAGGAAAAAAAAATCTTTATGACCCCATACTTCCCCCCAACCCCCTCACACAAAGGTTTAAAATTGGGAAAACGCAGCTCAGGGGCAGGGGTGGGATTCACAAGCACGCTGCTAAGGAGTGACAGAGCCAGATCTGGGCCAGGTCCCTCTTTCCACCACATGACACTGTGAGGAGAGCGCCCTTCGTCACCTGCTGCTTCCCCATCTTCTGCTCTGCCACACTTTACCGCTGACATCCCTCCTATTTCTACACCTAACACTGCTCTGTCATAATGCTTGTTCCTCTGGGGTAGGTTTCTTTTGGCCTTCCAATGCTCTGCCAGAGCTACTGGCATTTACACACTCTCCCTCCTCCTGGCTTTGTGTTTATCACACACAGGCGACAATAGAAATTCTACAGTCTGACTGTTGGCCTGAGTCAGCACACAGCTTTGGGGACCTCCAAATAGCTGCCGGTTGACTCAGGCAGGCTTGGGGAGTTTGCTTCCTCCGATCTGGTCTCCTACAGACATGTGGACTTTGGATCGGAAGGCAAAGTCCCTAGAGCCCCCACCTTCTGCTATGTTTTTATTACCGGTCATGAACACTTTTAAGCAGTCTGCAACATCAGTGGTTGTCCTCTGAAGGATACAGCGGGAAAACCACCTAAAGTAAGCAAAGAACATAAGTAAAGTTCAACTTCAAAATTTCCACTGTAAACATGCATTAGGGTTAAATTAAGAAATAGACATTCTGAGTAAAAGTCAATGTTGTTCATAATTTTGTATATGCTATGTGTTCATAATTATATTAAAAACTCACCCTCCTCCACAGTGAAATTAATCAAAGAGAGAAACTAAGGCATCGTGCTGACATCAGACACATTGGGGTTCAAATCCTGGCTGGTATACTCATCAGCTACCTGCCTTTGCTATGTAAACCTAAGCTTTGGTTTCCTACCTGTAACAAGGAAATTTATAAGATGGTATGATAGTCACTACCTCGTGCTGTTATTATAAAAATTAAATTAGATAATATATGTAAAGTGCTTAGCATGGTGCTTGACACAATATAAGTAATAGAGGCCTTTATGCTATTATTATAAAGTAATTTATTAGTTTAGCAGATCTTATACTTTCAAAATAATCAAAAATTTTTCCAGCATAAACGTCCACTTCTACTGAAGAGCCTTTTAGACTTACGGTCTTAACATAATTATCTTATTTAGATTTCAGAAGTAAGTTTTCTTGCTAAAATCATTAATTTAAAACTTAGAAAATGAAGATCATGACAGTAGTAAGTATGCTATCAGTATTATTATAGTTCTCTAAATATACGCAAGAACAATGATGCAATTAGCATGCTGCTAACCAGCTGGATGTCCTTTATCTGCTTAATTAAGGAAGTAACACACATAACAGGGATCTCTTTCAACCTGGAATGAAGTCGGAGGCAGGATGCTATTTTTCCTACTTCCCACATTCCCAAATACGTACCCAACCACAACTTTAATGGAACAAATTAAACAGCTTAAGTCTAGGGAGAAGAAATTTTGCCAACAGCTCCTATAGCCTCAAAACATTGTATAGTGACAAATATTGAAACAATTCTAAGAACTACAATTTAATAGGAACTAGGAATTCATATTTAATGTGTTATCCCTAATTCTGCCTATGTTTCTAATAGCTGTGTGAACAACCACCATATTAAGTATCTGTGAGCATTAAGAATGATAAAATAATTGCAAGCACGTATTGAGCATTTACAGGGAGTAAGTGGCAGATTAGGATACAAATCCAGGCAATCTGATTCTCAACTGCTTGACAGAATGTATGTAAAGTTCCTAGTACAATGCCTAATTGAGTGCAGATGTTCAGAAAATAAATGTACAAGAATTTCTACATGGCCATCATTTTAGGAATATGACTGGCACATAAGCAATTGTTTGTCCTAATGTATGTATAAAAATAGTTTTTTAATGAGGCTATGTATTACCCCAACATTATCAATCACATTTATATATGTAAGTATAATTTACGACCAGAAGTATTCATTAGTACTCATTATTTTAAAAATGAATAAAGAATACAAACTATTCCTTGCTGTATAGTCTTTAATTAAACTACAACTAATAGTACAGATAGTGGAAGAACAGGTCAGGGTAATTTTAAAAGTACCTGGTGATTCTGGGGTTAATATTGGCCACGAATCCAACCACCACCATTCCCTTGTTGAAAGCATCTTTACAGACATCAATGCCAACTACCATCAGGGACTTTAACTGTAAAATTAAATTTTTCATGATTTAATGGGATGAGGCATTATTTCCCCAATGACTTAATACAAAATTTTTATAAAATTATCCCTAGTTATTTAATTATTCAAGTTAAGCTATGTGCCAGGGGGTCAAGGGGGTCAAGGTAAGGCAGATTATTAAACCAGAAGCCGAAGAGACTGACAGATGAAGGGAAGGATACGGGTCACACTTTGCCTCAGAGACTCACTATAGTCCAAAACAGCAACCCTCCTGTGTGGAGGAGGCTAAGGGCCATCGAGTGGTTCAAAAGATTCTGAGAAAGTGGTTAGTCCATTTTTCCCCTGCCTCTGAGATCAAGGAATCTGAAAAGGAATTCCATTCCTCTTTCTTCAGATCTCTAAGGAATCCTCACCTGGCTCTCCACCTCCAGGGGGCAGCTGGGGGTCACCCCACGGACCCTGCTCCTGGAAACCTAAGGGAATGGGCAGCGGTCCCTTATTTCTCATCTCCTCACTTCCTCCCACAGTTGCCATGATTCAGGAAAGAGAAGAGTATTTCCTTAGTTTCCAGCACATTTGGGAGGCTGAGCTCACAGGCTCTGCCAGTTCCTCAAGGTCTGGGAGGCCCATCCAGGGAGCAAGACTACTCTGAGAGTCAGAGCCTTGTGAGATCAGGTAAAGGCAGAGGCCATGGAACAGATTTCAAATAGCCACCAGGAGCCTCCACACCAAGCCCCTCCAAGTCTATGCCAAACTAGATTCTCTTTCATGAAGTACTCTGTTACCAGCTTAGCCGGAGCTCCCTGAGGGCAGGGCCGTGCTCCACCTTTGCACACCTTCCTGGTGCCAAAACAAAGCAAAGAGGCTCAACAAGCCAAACAAATGCTTCTGGGATCATGCAAAAATATCTCCTGCTTTGAGTTAACTTTGACAATGAATTAACTGATGGATTACTAAAAGGAAAAGAGTGACAGGCTCCTCACAGGAATCTCGACAGCCCACAGCTCGCCTCCGAGTTTACAGGCCATCTGCATGGCGATCTTGGTGGCAATGCTCATCACCATTCCCTGCTTGCTCAGGGTGCGGACAAGCACACACTGGCTCGGGACGGGGCGGTCGGAGCTCAAGTATTTTTTAATGGACTCATAATAGCTCTGCTGATTGGAAGGCAGAATACACATTACCTAAAAACAAAACAAACAACACAAAAGTCAATTTACTTCTGCTTAGAAGTAGCTTTTTAAAGAGAAATGAATATATGGATTCTCCAAACATCTTTTGTCCTTAAGTTGTCACGAAGCAAATTTGAGCAGGCCTACAGGTCTTTACACTTCAACAATTCATCAAGGCCTTCTCATCAGCCACCCACTCCTCCAAGCCCTGCTCCAGTCTTACCTGTCACTTACCCTTGGCTTTCCCTTCCCGTTCATCTCTCTACGGATTTGATTCTGTTAGCAGCCTCGAGTTCCCTCCCAGCCTGGCTCTGCCTCCAGCTACCTCCCCATTTTGGCGATGGCCCTCTCCTATGGCTCTCCAGCTCTCATCCCCTCCTCCTTCCAGCTTTACCCACAGAGAAGAATCGGCTTACACCGTGGTCTTTTTCCCATTAGGCCCTGAACGACCAAAATAGAAGAAACAAAAACAACAACCAATTTTTTGGTTTCTGGTACTTGAAAGGAAGGATGTGGGAGGCAAGAAAATAAGAAGAAATAAACTTCAGGCTCCCTGGTATTTTTTAATTCGTCCCATCTCTGTCACTGCCCCTACTTCTTGTCAGGAATCTCCCTCACAGAAGGCTCTCCCCTGGACTACCTCCATCTCCTTCCTATCTTCTATTCTCTATCTTCAAAAACCCCTCAATTATAGAAAAGAAAGACACTGTCGTGATTAGCAAAAGAAAACAAATGACGTGATTTTTTTTTCACCTACAGATCTGTTCAAAATCATAATGTCAAGGGCTAAAATTATTTACACTTATATTATATAAAGTAGGAAAAAGTATTTTTAAATTGTCAGCACAATTCTCTTAGGAGCCTTCCTTCTTTCCTTCCTTCCACCCTGTGAGTCTGGGGCCAAGCAAGCTAAGTGGTAGAACAAGGCAGTAGCCCAAGGGGCCCAGGGCCAAAAGGAGGTGGAAGCCAAGTGAGACTGATCACACATCAGGGCTGGAGAAGTAAGCAGATATTTGGCAAATAATAGCAGCCACGTTTCTCAGTTTGAGAGAGGGAGAGGTACAAATTTGGAAAGAGAGAATGTTTTCCTGTGGTATTGAATTGGAACTGGAAGTGTGGACATGTTTTTAATATATACAGAAGTACATATAGTAATAAAATAGGTGTAGTTGTGCATAATATATATGTAGGTACATACACGTAGACACAAACATACATATATTTGCCCTTGCTTCGCCCACTGAGAAAGCCTGGGACAGCGACACTCCAGGAGCAAATGAGCACATCCAATGCTCAGACCCTGGTTTCCAAATACTGTTCTTTACCCAGAGGAATTAGGGCTCATTAGAGAACCTTCTGATTCCAGAGCTGGGCAGCAAAACTTCAGGATTAACCTGAAATATCTTATTGTGCCAGACAGTAAGGATGTGTTCCAAGAAAAATGGGGAAATGTCAAGAACGCCCAGACGCCAACCTGGATGGGGCTCTTACTGGAAAACTCAGGGACAATTTGAGCATCAAAATAAACAACAGTAGCAATGGACTATAAGTTAGTGAATTCAATAGGAACTCATACTGATATAAATAGATGAATGAAGAAATGGAGAGAAAAGAAAGTTTTTCTTTATAATGTAATGCCACCTAATAAAGGTAGAAGGAAGTATGGAATTAGAAAGCCACCATGGGGCAACCATCAGCATAGTAACAGATTCAGACAAGAATCAGCAAGGGAGCGCTTGCTTCGGCAGCACATTTCCTGAAACTGGACGATACAGAGAAGATCACTACCGCCCCTGCACAAGGACAACACAGAAATCTGTGAAATGTTTCACATGTTTAAACATATGTATTTATAACACACACAAAAAAGAATTACCAGTGGATTCTAAAACTAGTGCATAGAAGTTTGATGAGGAACAGATATTTACAAATTACAAAGTACCTCCCTACTTAAAAAAATATTAATTACAAAAAGAGTGACTTGACAGTGGAAAAACTTGACCAATACCGTCTTAATCAGTGGGGAACCCTGGCAGGATGCAGTAGAAACAAAGAATCATACTCCTGCCAAAAGTGCATAACCTGAATTTAATCAAAAGGAAACATCAGACAAATCCAAACTGAGGAACATTATATACATAACTGATCTATACTCTTCAAAATTAGGTCATCAAAGGTGAAGAAAAGCTATGGAACTGTTCCAGATTGTACATAAGACTAAAGAGAGGGAACAACTAAGTGCAACACATTAGATCCTTTTACCAGAGAGGACATTTTTGAGATAAATGGAGAAATGTTCATAGAGTCTGTGGATTAGCCAGGCATATTGTTTCTTGATTTTGATGGCTGTCCTATGATTCTGCAACAGAATGACCTTGTTTGTAGGGAATATGCACTAATGTATCCAAGGGTAATGGACCATCATGTCTGTAACTTAATCTCAAATGGTTTTGGGAAAAAAATAGATATAGGTATATAGGACAGTTGATGATTGATAAAGAAAAATAAATAGAAAATGATAAATCAAGTATGATAAACTGTCAACAATTGGGGAATCTGGGTGAAGAGTATATGGGAGTTTTTTGTACTAGCGACTTTTCTGTACGTTTGATTTTTTAAATAACAACATAAATGCTCTTAGTGTGAGAATGCCCTTTGTTTGATACCACATCCTCATGGACCATTTCTGTGTGTGTTTGGCGAAAAGAGCTACACCGCTCTGCATGAGATATGAGTAGGAATGTTGGGAGCTGGGATGAATGAGCTAGGGAGGTAAGACCAGGAAACGGGGCAGGGAAAGCGCTGTGATACAGTGCAAGGCTGAGACCTCGGGGAAGGGCACATCCTTCCAAGAAATAGGAATGGTTGAGATATTTTTAAGAACAGGGATGTCCATTTTAACTTGTCTGTAATGTTAAAATGTGAGGTCATTATCCCTTGGTGCCAACCCCTCTGCAAAGTCAGCCCCACACCACACACACAACTACTTTGGAAAATGAGTCCATTGTGGAAATCCCACAGCGTGACACAACGCAGGAGGAAATGGCACTCACAAAAGATGCAACACACCCAGGAGGGCAAGAATTCAGAGGAAGCAGCAACACGGGGTCATAGGTGATGTGGAAAAACCTAGGTGACATGGAATACAGAGGCTCCAACATTTATGGGAAAAGATGGGAGTTAATTTATCTTAAATATTAAGTGAAAGATGACTCCCCCATAAGTGGAAAATTATGTAGACATCCCAGAGGCTGATAGAGGGTAACAACAAGAATTTTTAAGTTAACATTATAAATATGAAAGAGAAATAAAATATTGATAAAATACTAAGATTAATACTTTCTTGGGTGCTTGGGGAAATGCACAGGAATTTGTAAACATATGGGAGATTATGTTCACATTTTTTCAAGACTGTTAGATATAACAAAAAATAAAAATTATACATCAAAACACAAAAATGATCCTATACTTACCAACTGAACATCAGGATCAACATATCTCCGTATAGCGCTAAGAAATGCAGCCGGATTTTCTTGTACTCTTATGCTACATAAAAAGATTAATATTGAAGACATAAAAATTCCTCTCTTAGTAGCACATAATCATATGGAGTTAAAATAATACAAATACAAAATACAGACTAGCAATTGGAGAAAAAAATTATTAGAGAAAAGTTACAACCTTTTGAGTCTAAAATTGTTTGTTTCTTCCACTACAAGATATGCCAGAAATATTTAATAATCATTTATATTAGCTTATCAATAGTTTGGTGGAAAATAAAATTTTCAGAATTGTATGGAATCCCTACAATTAATAACTCTGCTGCTCAAAATGAGGTTGAAAATAAACTTTTGAATATCGTGTCTGAAACAGGATTCAAATTAAATTGGGATTAAGATTTCTCAAATACTGAACCTCCATAAGAACTTTAAAGTGAGTGTTTCAAAAATCATCACATTAATGAGAACACGATATTTAGCTAATCTTGAATCTGTATGATTTGGACTAAAAGGTTTTCTTTTCCTCCATGACAGTTTGTTTGGAGCCTGGAATATTTAGCCTTCGTCAATCAGTCAGCAAGTACTTATCAATGATCAGTTCTGTGCTTACAGTAAGTTATGGGACAGGCTACAGAAATGATTCCCACACAGAGGAACTTATAGATCACTTTATGTAGGATCAGCCTCTCTCCCTGTGTATGATTGGACTGTCCCAATGCCCAGTGACCTTTTAGAACTTGCCCACTAGGGGGCAGGACGACTGTCTCCTACTTGCTGATTACAACTGAGCTGTGGGAATGAATGGCTTAACAGGTCTTAAAACAACTCAATACTTCTGATTTTTCCAGTTCAATCTCTTGAATCAGACTTAACCACCATCTTACTGTCCATTCCTTCTAAAGTCACCTGGCAAACGCTTCAGACGCATATAAACCTAACGGGTAAATGGATACTTCATGAGGGGAAAAAGGATGGGATAAAAATACGGACTTTCAAATGAAACAGGCTAGCAAGAGAACACAAACGCGAGACTGCTCATGGAATTGGTATGCAAAAGTTGCCAGCCAAGGGTCTGCTGGCTCTGGTTTCTTACATTAATCCTTTCCTGCTTTATTAATTAGCTCATGGTTTAAAAGAAATTAGAGCAGGTGAAACTCAAACCAGGTAATCTGTTAAAAAATTTGATAAAAGGAGAATTTTAAACTACAGTATAAAATGAGACTGGGGGATATCTGTGGTTTTCAACAATGCATGCCCTGATGATATAACTAATTAGCAACCATGTGTTTAAAGAATAATTTCCCACCCTGCCAGTGAGGACATCTGCATCTCTACCATAACAAAGAAAAAGAGGTGTCTATTGCTCCTTACTAAGCATATCAAGCGCAATAAAATGAGACATGACCAACTTTATCACTTTTCTAAAGCAAACCATATTCAGTTTGGAGTGTGCTTGTGTGTGTATATGGATCCCTTACTAAACTGAAAGTAACTTACTTATCTTTCTCATCACTCCAAACAGGCATAGTATCTAACATATAGCAGATACTCAATAAGTGTTCAAAAACTAAATGAATAGCCTTGGTTTTATCAGAAAACTATCGAAATAACTAATTTTATTTATTTTAATTTTAAAGATTTAATTTATTTTTAGAGAGAGGGGAAGGGAGGGAGACAGAGAAGGAGCGAAACATCAATGTGTGGTTGCTTCTCACACGCCCCCCTACTGGGGTCCTGGCCTGCAAGCCAGGCATGTGCTCTGCCTGGGAATTGAACTAGCAACCCTTTGGTTTGCAGGTTAGTGCTCAGTCCACTGAGCCATGCCAGCCATGGCTAAAGGACTAATTTTATTCTATAGTAACAGAATCAGAAAAGCTTATTTCAGATCTGTTTTTACATTTCATATTAATGCCTAAAATTTATTAAGTGAGTCAGGAAGTGCAACTTTATTTTTTTAATGTCCTATTTGCTGTTAAGTTTTATAAAAAACTAATATGAAAGAGTTAAAGAAAAAAGTTGAGAAGGTAATATATGGATTTATACCTGAACTAGTACTGAAAAAACTTCAAGGTAATGAGACTATTGCCTAAAAAACTGGAGAAAAAGAGTTTTACAAAGACTAACATAAAATATATTTTAACTGTATAAAAATTTTATCATTGCGAAAGTGTATTTACTTATAACTATTTTCTTGGCACTGTGTATTCGGAAACTTTACTGAGATAGGAAAGCTTTTATAGCTACATCAGCCCTTATTTCCTAGTTTCTAAACAAACCAAATTAATAAATTTAAAGGTTGGGATGATTTTCAGTGTATTCTCACATTTTGGGGTAGTCCACATTAAATCCCATAGAACTTCCAACTCTTCTTAAGCAGCTCAGAAAGGTCTCAGTCACATTTTCAGCTCTGTTGCTGCATACGATCAACCATTTATTCAGAGAAATTGCACTTAGAATCTTGCAAGTTCGAATGTCCTTGGACCAATCAGCAGCAGACACTGGTTGACACTGAGAAAAATGATGATCATGACAGGGCTGAACACATTTATCCAGGAAGAATTAAATAAAGACAGTGCAAAGAGGGTCCACATTTGTCATAAGAGAACTACATAGAACTCCTTGCTACTCAAAGCACCGATACAGGCACTGCACATTTGAGCAGAACGTATGCGCTTCCCAGGAGTGCAGGCATCTGAGCATCCTCCCAGGAGGGCCACTCCATGGCTGCAGAGCCTTAGATGAGTCACTTCACTTCACAGGCCTCCACTAGGTGCAAAAGAAAAAAAAAAAAGGGTCTGCTTCAAAGACCTCTAGGTTCCCTTTCAGCTCTAGGAATCTCTGGCCTTTACTGTGAATGGCTCAGGCAAGTGCACTGTCCAGGTTGGTGTCTTTAATCCAGGCTAGATCTAGATAGCTCAGATAGAAAATGCGGATTACTGATACTCCAGGTCCTCATACTAAAACTAACAAACCCTACAGGGCAGTTAAGAATATATTTATGCAAGGAACAACCACACCAGGAGCAAAGGTGAGGATGGGATGCAAGCTCCTTGCCCACTCTTGGAAGGTTCCCCAGGTGACCAGGAAGAACAAGCTCCTTGCACTGAAGAAGGGAGACTTTAGACTGGTCACACTGGTCACTAGCCTTCGGCTTATATCCATGGACTGGAAGTGAATAGAAACGTCCTTGGTATGGAGCTGGGAAGAGTCACTGCTAGAATTTAAAAGAAACATACTATAATCTAATCCCTTGCTACTCAAAGTGTTATCTGAGAGCAGCACGGCTCTCTCCTGAGAGCTTGTCAGAAATTCAGAGTCCAGGGTCCCATCCCAGACCCACTGAATCAGAACCTGCATATTAATAAGGTGATTCATCTGCACATGAATGTTTAAGAAGCTTCGTAATCCCCTTGTTTTACAGACCCCAAAGCTGTGGCTGAGAGAGGTAATGGAGCCAGCTGGTGGCAGTGACAGGTTTCGAAAGCTGGTCTCTTGACATTGCAACCAGAGCACTTTCCACCAAGCACTCTGACTTCCAACCACCTGTCATCCTCATGAAGCCTTTCCATTAGGGGGCTGGGTGCGGACTCCGCTCCAGGAAGAGACCTTAGCCTGAGAATGGAGGGGAAGGGTTAGCCCCTCCACAGACGGTTCTGTCTGGAGCCAAGACTTATTATTCCTTTCCTTTACAGCCAGTATGAGGAGAGACACCCTCTCACCTACACTCCTCCCTGTTACGGGCTGGCATAAGACCCAGGACAAATGCCCATAGCCCACTCTGAGGTCCGTGAACCTTTAGTTTACTCATTTCCTAGAACCTGATCTCAGAAAAGCAGAACGGGTCAAGAAGCTGATGACCCAGACACCTCTAGCCATCTACCGCCCCTTCTAGGAAGCAGGTTCTTCCATTTTATGTTCCTTCTATGGCGACTTGTTTCCATGCCAAAAAATGCAAAAGAAAAAAAATAGCTGACAAATAGGACTCACGGAGATGATGAGACAGGTCATTTTAAATATTTAAATCCCGCTTTATATGTGGAATTAAAATTGAGTTTTCTTTACTAGTTCCTGACCAACATCCTAATGGAGGCCTACATTTTAGTACTTTACAAAACTGTTTGGTTTGGTTTGGTTTCTTAAAGTAGTTTTTTTCAGCTTCTCTAATAAGGTTTTGGTAATTCAGAATAGATTATCAAAAAGAAATGATGGAAAAAAAATCCCCCATCTGCCAACACAAACCATTTGTTGTTCAGTTACATTAGTTTATATATGTCAGTTTATTATAACAAATAGGGCAAGAAGAGAGCCTTTAAAATGAAATAAAGTATAACTGATTTTAAAGTGGAAAAAAATGGGAAAAGTAGAAAGGTAATGCACAATTTTGCATAAAGCAGATTCATTTCTTCAACTGAAGCCCTAGGGAAGCAATGATTGGTCTCTTCAAGTTTCAGAACATTGCTCTCCCTAAATGCAAAGGCTGGAGACGAGATCCGTGCACATTTCTTCATGTTTATGCCAAATGAGCAGCATTTTACTTTGGGATAAACAACTATGGTATCAATAAACATAATTTATTAAAATTAAGCTTCACCAACTAGCAGAATTTTCCCAGGTACTATTAATTTTTTGTGTGTGCATGACATACAAGTACTACAATACTCAATAACAGGTGGGCATGTTTCAATTACAATGGCTTGAAACACCATTTTTTAATTTGTCTTTAAATATGATACCACATCACCCTGACTGACCTAAATCATGTGGTCGGGGTGCCACTAAGCCCATGCAAAGACACTGAAATTACAAAGGAAAAGAGAGAGGACCTCAAGGTTTAGGACAAAGGGAGCACATGAACATGCTCACAGAAAAACCAAATGAATATTACAAGCCCATTTAGTCACTCTGGCTTATGACCGAACTTACGCACAGTCAAGCAATTACTGTTAAATAAAAATAAAATCACAACACTTACTATGTGGTCTTGCATTAATATTTTTTCTGAAGGCACAACCCGACCAGTCAGTGTCATCTGGCATCCAAAATGCAGCCCCCAGGTCTCCAGCTCAAAACGAGCATCCTTGTTTCTGTTGATAGAGTTGAGTTTTAAGTTATTGAACTGCACCCTTTCTAAAGAATTTAATCATTAGAAACAATTATAACTTACTGAATTATTCAGAGACTGACTTTTTTTTTTTTTTTTTTTTAGGATTCCTGACTCCTATTTCTACTTATTCAATTTTTTTCTCCTACTCAAAAGAATTATGGGATGGTGGTGCCCATCTGGGACATGCAGGGATGGAAAAGGCTTGCGGGTGGCACTCTGGTTAGCGAAATGGGCCTTTGAGCCGGACAGACCAGGGTGTAACTCCTAGTGCTGACATTTATTAATATGCGACCTTGGTCACCGTCTTAAAACTTTGAGCCGGACAGATGAGGGTGTAACTCCTAGTGCTGACATTTATTAATATGCGACCTTGGTCAAAGTCTTAAAACTTTTTGATCTGTGGTTTTCTTACTGGCAAAATGTATGCACAATAAAACTAACTACTTCATAAGGCTGATATGAAGATTAAATACGGCAATACATGGCAAGGGCTATGACAGTGCCTGGCAGATGCTATGGGCTCAATAAATGTAACATATTATTCCTGATAATAAACTTAATAAAGAGATATTGTGGAGTCTCTGGATGTGGAGATGTCTTCTGGGAATAACTGAATTTCTGGACTGAGAGTAGACAGAGGATGATATAGGAAGTGAACATAGAACCTTATGCTTCAGAAGATTCGTAGGATAGACAGGACAGTGGGAAACCTAAGAGAATACTAGTATCAGTAATAATAACCACTTCATATTTGCATCATACTTTGGTTTATAACTTAATAAGCTTTAACCATAGTTTATGTATTACCTCTTTGGATTATGATATATATGGTCATCTCTATCAGCTGTAAGCTCCCCGAGGAGAGCAATCATACTGATTTTGGGCCCTGGCATGCATTGTACAATAGCTGGTACATAGTAAGCCAGACACTTACAAAAAAGACTGATGTGATTCACGCTTTTATTTACCTATAAAAGCTTCCCCTCTCCCTTTAGGGAAGCTCAAACCTCTCTGCCACTGACTCTCCATAATGACTCATTATTTCCATCTATTCATGTTATGTCTAGTCTAGTCATAATGAATACTTTAAATTGATTATTTCATTATTTGGCCTCAGGTACTATCTGTCCAAGATGAGATGGATGGGGTGGTCACTGGTCAGGACGCTGGGCTGAAATAAACGGGATTACTGGGAGGTGGCAGGGAGATATGTCAGGAAGATTAATCCATAAAGGAAAAGAACCAGGAATAAGTAGGAATACGTTATTCTCAAGTAGGAATAGTCTGGGGGATGTCCAGGAAAAATGACATATAGAGTAACCATAAAACAGAAAAGTATGAAACCACGAGCATTATAATACAGATGCACCTTTATCCTATAGAAACGGTAAAAAGAAAGCAAGTTACAAAACATGATGCAGAGGCCCTGGCCAGTAACTCAGTTGGTTAGAGCGTCATCCCTGATACACCAGGGTTGCAGGTTTGATCCCAGGTCAGGGCACATAAAAAAAGCAGTAAATGAGTGCATAAATAAGCGGAACAACGAATCTCAATACCTCTCTCTCTCCTCCACCCCACCCCGTGCACCCCCCCACTTTACCCTCTTCCTCCCTGTCTCCCTCTCTAAAATCAATAAAAGTTATTTTTAAAAAACATGATGTACAATGCTATGTAATTTTCCTAAAAACAACATGATTATATGCATTTGAAAATATATGAAAGAATATACATCATTCATTCAATTATGATTCATTCATTTATTAAACAAATTTTACAGGTTACACACATGCACACATATCTCTTTATTTTGTTTATGTATGCAAATTTCTAATTCCTCCTTCAAATTTTTTCATCTTTAAAGAAAAAAAGATTATTCTACAACAACACTGCCCAGTAGAAATATAAAGCAAGCCACACACTTAATTTTAAATTTTCTAGTAACTGCATTAAAAAAGCAAAATTAACAAGTAAAATTATTTTTTAGATATATATTATCTAACCCAATGTATCCAAAATGCAACCATTCCAAGATGTGGCATTAACCACATTTTAAGTGCACAAGAGTTAACATGAGGCTACAGTGCTGGAGAGTGAAGTTTTAGGAGGTCAGAAGAGAAACCAGGAAGAGGCTCAAAATTTCCCATCACGGAATACAGCTAATTGTCATAAAAGAGGGCAGGAACGCCATCTGAGAATCAGGTGGGCTGAATCGCAGGGCGCAAAGGTATTCCTAAGTTTAAACAATACATAGTGGGGTCTTCCTAATGATCAGTGTGCTGAGACCGCTCTACTGAAAATCTGAATACTCTTTACCCAGACTACTGGGGGCCTGGAGTGGTTTTAGAGCATTTTGTTTTTTCAGTTATAGTCCTTTTCTTTCAAACTTTTATCCAGAACCTTAACATATTAAATGGATGAAAACAGAGCCACCTAGCGGAAGCGGGGTGGTAGTTCTGCTGGAGCAGCCTTCACCCACCTCCCCTCAACCCGTAGTCCTGAGGTATCCTGGGTGACCCCCTGGCTCTGGACCACGCAATTCAAAAGTGCCTTGCTCTGAATCAATAGGAATGAGATATTTTCATCAGGGAATGCGACATTTTATAAATCATCCAATTCTAAAAACTAGGCCTTAGGCAGGGTACACTCTGGTCCCAGTGAGACACCTGGTACCTCTGGATGTCGTCAGCAAGCCTGGCCAGGCGCTGCTGCCTTCCTGTTGGACTGAGACGTGTTTCTTCAGCCACAGCCTTCATCAGTTGGAAGTCAGAGGTTGCCTGGCTCGTCAATCCTATTAGGTGTAAACAAAAACGAAGTGAAAAAAAGAACAATATACAATGTAACCCCAGCCCTTCTCAGGTTCAGTATAAGTTTTTCACTGACGCTGAATCAGATAGCACTCTCCAATAAAAACGCAAACCATGTATGTATGACACTTTACTTTTCTAGTGGCCATGTTTGGAAGAAAAAGAAAGAAACCGATGAGCCCTGGCCAGGGTGGCTCAGTTGGTCGGGCGTCATCAGCAAACCGAAAGGGTGCCAGTTCGATTCTGGGTCAGGGCACATGCCAGGGCTGCAGGTTTGGTCCCCAGGCAGGGCACGTATGAGAGGCAGCCAACTGATGTTTCTCTCTCACATCGATGTTTCTCTCCCTCTCTTTCCCCCTCCCTTCCCTGCTCTCTAAACCAAAAATAAAAAATGAAATTATAATAAAAGAAACAGGTGAAATTATTTTAAACAGTATCATTTAACTCAATATATCCAAAATATTATAATTTCAACACGTAATCAATAAACTTGAGTTATTTTCCCTTTTTTCATACTGTCTTAGAAATCTAGTCTGAATTTTACAGTCACAGTACCTCTCCATTTCCTCAATTGCACTAGTCACATTTCAAGTGCTCAGAAAACACATGTGGCTACCGACTACCATACGAGGCTGTGCAGATCTAGAATATCAAACACCACTAATGATGAGCATCCCTCCCTTCAAGGAATACATCCTTGTGAGTGTTTCTAATTGCAAGACAAACATACGCACACCATACTAATTCAAGCAATACAAAAACATAACAGTAGAAAGTCCTCCCTTCTTAGTTCCACCCTGTTAATAAGATAAACATGATTAAAAGTACTCGAGACAGTTATTCAATATATAGTGAAGATTACCTTCTAGAAGCACATGCAAAAAGAAAATAAGGATCATTGTCTCACAAACAGTATACCGGAAGAAAAGTCATATCAAACATATCACTTCCTAAACTAGTGAAGTTCACAAACTGGGGAAGAGCAAGAGCTTGGTTTTAGGGAAATATCTGGGGCCTATTTTACATCGAAATAACAAATGGAATACACGAGGTAAACACACAATTTCCAAACAGCACTCTATCCTCCCACTTTTTCTACTATCAAGTAAATTACTTAAGGGCCCATCTTCCATGGGTTGAATCAATGCTCTGGCACGCAGCTAACTGAAGGAGGTTCAGCCCACTGCCAAGTGTCAGAGCATGTCATCAAGAACCTGCTAGAGTATAAAACATAAACATTACCTGTTAGAAAGCAGAGCTCAGGGATCAGGTGGACCATCCGAGCCTCAGCGTTATTTCTCTTGCATTTCAACAGACTAATAAGCATTGGCTGATGTAGGTCAGATAAAGTAATATCATATTGCTATGGAATGCAAGAATAATGAGGGAAAAGTTAATATGGAAACATTGTAAAATGAGCATCTTTACTTATAACCTAGGGTAATTGCAAAATGAATAAATAAGCAAATTTTTTCAATGAAGAAAAAAATCCCATGGTTACCTACTCATTTCTGCTTCCTTCCTCTCAAATTCTGTCTTTTGTAGTTGAGGGCCAGTTTTTAATTATCTTTCATAGGGTGCCGTCACTTTGTTGGGTTTGTAATCATTTCCCTGGTCTCTCCTGGGTTCCTTCCAGAGTCAGAATAGCCTCCACTTGCTCCGTACGTAGTGCGATGGCCCTACTGGAGCCGAGCCAATGCCAGCATTTCCACTACTGATGACTGGGGCAGGCTGCCCCAGGCGGAACTGGCGGCTCTAAGCACCTATATTCATTTTGAAAATATCTATACACAAGTTGGAGGAGAAGGGTTATATTAAGTCAACTTCAAATTTCCCCAAAGAGCATGACTGTCCTTAACTTCCAGGATTTCAAGATCTTACAGGGAAGCAGCTGTGAAGTCTGACAAACGTGGATCTGATCTTCAAACCTTCTACTTAATTGTACTGGGACACTGGGGCAGGTACCTGCCTTTCCTCATCTATAAAATGAGGAAAACAGTAGCTCAGAAGTATCCCATGTAAATCACTAGCATTGGGTCTGGTTTTTAATGAACTCCTACCTAAACCCCCTTTCCTCTCCTAGGCTTGAATTTCAACATGTCACCTTGCCTAAAGTTCATTTCTCTTCCAAAGGCAAGCGTTCCAATTAACATTCATCTCCAGTATAATTTACTCAGCACTAATGACAGAACTGGAATTATAAATTACAAAATGCCTGGGCACCATGTGATGCTGACATCGATAATTATAATTAAGCAAGAAGTGAGAGTTTCTCCATTTCAATAAGGATTTTCAGTCATTAAAATAAAAAATAATTCGGAAAATTGCAACTTAAAGTGGTGACTGCAACGCAAGTTATAGCTAAAACGCTTAGAAAAGCCTTTGTAGAAGGAAGAGTTTTTATACACGACTTCATTAATTCAGTACACATCTTGTGCCTGTTATGTTCCTGGAGCTGCAGTGGATAATTATCTATAAAGCAAGGTAGATGAGAGGCACAGACGACAGTATGCTAAATGCTTATATTTTTCCTCCTTTAACCTTAACAAACCTATGGGACAGATATTCACACTGTTCCCTTCATAGATGAGGAAACACCATCAGAAACTAAACAACTTTCCCAAGGCCCCATCACTGAACATTAGCACAGCCAGGACTTGTCCTTTAAGACTTGGGAACCCCTGCTTGTTACATCAGTACTGGGTCCTGGGACAGTGGGGTGGGGGCGGGATGGGAGAAATGGTGATGGTAGTAAAAACAGTTTATGGCTCCTAAATCAGGGAACGCTTTGTGAAGGAGGTAGAGTCCAAAGAGCACCTTGAAGGAAATGTGGGGGTATAAGGACTCCAGGGTAACAATTCAAACAAAGCACGTCCCAGGAAGAGAGTATTCTATTTACCTGGAGCACGGCCAGGAATTCATCCCCCTGAGCTATGTCATAAGGTAAATTTTACCTTCTCCCTTGCCCAGATTTTCTTAGCATTTGAAAATATGTTTCATGACAAGATAAAGTAGAGAAATATAAAGGTCAATATCAACATGTCTTCAACTCTGAAAGGGGGCTACATAATAATTTAGTGTTCCTTTTCTGGACAGAAAGACATGCTAGACAAAGGCAATTTTGTTTCTTTTTCTCAATTATAACATAAATGTAGTGAACATAACTCACTTCAAAAAAAATGAGTGGGATTTTACAATCATTCCCTTTGCAAGATGTCACAGGTCCTAAAATCCATCTGCTCAAAGTAAAACGAATTCAACCACCCAGAAAAGAAACTCAAATATTGAACAAACTTTGTGTTTATAAACAAACACTATAGAGCACATTTCATAAACAAGATGCATTACGAGGCACCAGACATCAAGGGTTAGCCAAATGTCGTCCCTGTCCTAGAAGGAAGATGTGCTCTGGAAGCAGTGTGACAAGAGCTTAGAGCACAGCTGGGCTCTACTGTGACTGTGACAGGAAGCAGAGTCAGAGAGGACTTCACAAAAGGAGGTGACATTTGACTGTGAAGCTAGGACTTTACCTGGTGGTGAAGGAGGAGGGTACAGGGTGGCTTTATGCAGATGTCTAGTGAACGTGAGCAAAGCAAAGGAGCATTTAGTGACAGACAGCAAGTGGACTGGGTGACGGCAGCGTGGGGTGCATGGTGGGAATGCCGTGTGAGATGAGGCTACAGCTGAGATGGGGCCAAACTGCGACGCTAGAGATGGTGAGGGGAGCCTGAGAAAAAGGGGGCAGGGTCTCCACCGTTCACCCAGTGCTCACAATGCGCCAGTGCCGGGCTAAATGCCCTGTGTGTGCATTATCTTGCTCACTGTCTTCTCGGTACCATGAAGGCTAGCAAATGACTCCCTGTCACAGATGGCACTTCACGTTCAGCGATTTGCCCAAGGTTGCACAGCTCGTACCAGGACCACCTTATCCCAGAGCTTGTGCTCTGAACCACATTTCTGGGCAGTGTTTCAGAGAGCTCTCCTTGGTGGCAGTGAGATGACAGACCACAGCGAGCAGAGGGCTGGGGCCGGAAGACCATACAGGGGTGACCAAAATGTCCCAGGGGGGAACCCATGAGAGGTTCTGTTTTGAGGTGCTGAGTAAGGTGGGGAGGAGCACAGGCTCCAGGGAGAATTCAAGGTTAAAAAAGGCAGCATTCCTCTTGGTGACAATGGAAGTAGGAGACAAGGGTGACGCAGAGCAAGGAAGCAAATCCCAAGGAGAAACAAGTGAGAAAGGGAACGAATTCAGGATGAGTTATGTTAGTCTGAGATGCCTGCGGGATAGTCGTGCCAAGATGGTCTGTTAATAGAGAGAGTATGTCTTATAGAAAAGAGGGCAAGGCAAAGATACTACATTTGAAAGGTCTCAGAATACAAAGAAAAGATTCTACATGAGGGAACCATGGTTAATAATAGCATTTAAGGTTTGGGGGAAATTAGGAGACGGAGGATGTCAAAAAAGTAAAAAAAGAAGGCTGAGAAAAAACAATCTGAAACCTCGCAGAGAACCACCAGGGACGTACCCCAAGTATCAAGCTGAAAGTGACCACTGGTGACATACGCCATCAAAAGCCCATTATGATAAGAGGAGTAAGTGAATTTGACCTTTAAAGATCTATTTCCATAGCAGCCAAACCAAACACCGGACTTCAGGAGGAACTGAAGCGGTGCTTGGAGCTAACATATGTGATGACCTTCTAAAGAAATTAGCTAAGGAGAAAAAAGAGACAGCTTTTCTTTAAGGTATAGAAAGGTGTGGAAGGGCATTTGCTTTGTGTTTCTTGTTTTTTAAAAACAGCTATGAGAGTTTTTTCAGACTCTCCAGAATACAGCTGCATGTTAAAAAAAAGGAGCCCCTGAAGGTGGAGGTGGGGGCAGGGGTAACTGTGATAATTGTGAGTCAAACTTCAGAGACAGCAGGAGAGTCCATCAATAAATGTTTGAGTATCTACTATGTACACGACACTGTCCTAGCCCTGGATAAAGTCCGGAAGGGGAGTCAGACCATTCACATCCTGCCCATAATAATTTGATGCAGGGAAGGGGACCCTGGGAAGAATATCATGGGGCTCCCCTAAGAGTTGACAACTGAGCCAAGTATTGAGGGTGTTTAGTGACTGGCTGCGCAGGGGTGTCCAGGAAAAGAAAGCAACATGTGTGACAATGCAGAGGGAAGTAACCGCAGAACATACAAAGGAAACAGGGGTGGTAAAGGAAGAGACTCAAGAGGCGGAAGGGGGTCACGTTATAAACGGCCTTGGAAACTGCCCAGGAGCTTACTTAGATCTGGCTCCTGGAAATAAGGAACCATGGAAATAATTAAAACAGGGAAGTGACATTATCAGATATGCTTTTAAGGGAGATTACTCAGCCTACAGGAAGAAGGACAACAGGAGATAGATGAGAATCTGAGCCAAGCCAAGGATGGTAGGGATGGAGAAGGGACAGATCAGAGAATTAGGGTGGAGGCACACGCCGCCTGACAATTTAAGGAACCTGTGGGACTGTGGAGAGAAACAGGGGGACTTCTCTGAGCTAAGAGGACGGGAGATGAGGAAGAAGGGAACAAAGTCCTACCTGCTTGTAGTAATCCACGTACGTGATCTCCGTGCCATCCCGCTTCTGAAAGAAGTCCGTGGGTTTCACTGACCAGGCGATGTCATCAATGCGATAGGTTTTGTTATTGTATCTGGTGTGTGCAAGAAACTTTTAATTTTTTTTCAAATCATACAGGATATGCAGCAATTTTACTATAATATTAATTCAAAGTATCACACTCCAGAATTTCAGAAATTATGAGAGTAACACAGAACAGTCATTTAAAAAAAAAGTTCAGTTCTTATCTAAGAGTAATAATAAACTCTTCAGTCTACACTGGCAAGGGTCCAAACTTTTGGTGTCTCTAGGCCACATTGGAAGAAGAAGAGTTGTCTTGGGTCACACATGAAATAAACAAACACTAATGAAAACTGATGAGCAAAAAAAAGGTTTTACGTAAATTTACAGTTTTGTGTTGGGCCGCATTCATAGCCATCCTGGGTGCATGCGGCCCGCTAGCAATGGGTGGGACACCCCACAGGAAGACTTCTATGTTCCATTAAAACTGATAGAAAAGTTGCTAGACCACAAACTGTTCTTCTCACTGACAGACACTCTGACTTCAGAGAACTCATTCTGCAGTGTTGGAAAGCCAAACCGCTATTCAAAACATTCCCATCAGCTTCTGGTGTCACACAGATTTTTTTTTTTTTTTGAGCCCCTAGATAGCTTTTCTGATAAAAAGCACAAAAAGAGGGACGATTCTGGTGTGCTGCTCTATCTCCCATCTAGGGCTGGCCCTCAGCAAAATGCAAAGCAGGTCAGCTAAGACCACTCTAAACTCTTTGTCCCCTTCAGAGCTGTGTAGCCAGAATGTCTCCTATGCCAGAGCATCAGGACAGAAGCTCCCTTGTCAAGTTTCTTCCTCCAGGCCTCTTGGAAGCTTGTGAGGTGACTTTACAGCGGTGGAATAAACCAATCATGAAGCTCAAGATAGGGTAAGAAGGCAGCTTTCTTGCCCCAGGTAGTGTGGAATTTAAACAGTCTCACCTCTGTGCTATATAAACCAGAAAAGCAATTTTCTGTGGAGATTCTGAAGCAGACTAGAAGGCCAGCAGCTCCTCTAAGCTAAGTGTTGTGAACTAGTAACAGTATATGGTAAATTTTTCAGTACTCAGGAAACCACCTCATCTGTCCATGTGTAATTCAATTCAATGTGCATGAGGGGCAAATTATATATAAACATACCTAGAGGCTTGAAAGGTCTCAGCCTTAAAGACCTTGTACTCATAAAGAAGATGAGACATGGGCCTAATGGTCTATCCTATACTGTCATTAAATGAAATAAAACAGCTATGAAGTGGTAGCTATCGGCAACATGCTATGGGAGCGACACAGGGGAGGAAACTGAGTGATTCCAACCAAGTGGACAGGTGGAGGCTTTAGAAAAGCAGTAATGTTTGAGCGGGGCTTTGTGGAAGTAGAAATCCAAAAGGCAGAATTAAGGGTAGGGAATCTGTTAGGTAGGATAGATAGCAAACCAAAGGCAGGGAAGAGAAGGGATACACGTCCTGCTCACTGACTCAGTGGTCCTTGAAATTCTATGTATCTTTTCCATTATCTGGGAAGGAAGGGCTTTGTAACTATACTTTCATCCCAAGGTCTAAACGTCTGGAAAGAGCCCACGGTGCCTAAAGGAAGAAGCCCATTAATACATTTGGGTATTCACTCCCCGTCCTGGAAAGCTAGCACCAGCTTTACCTGCAAATTAATATGTAACTTCTTCACCCTCCCCCATCCCACCAACTACATGTCCTCAGGACAAAGGACTCTGGGGCTTGGTGCTCTTCGCCCTGTGGCCACCCGCCTCAGGCCACCTGACCTCAGGCCGCACTCGTGGTTGCCAGCCTGGTCCTCACCACCCCTGCACTTGCCTCCCGCGCCTTCGGCCACCCTTACCTTCAACGCCCTTACCCTGCTTCACCCTGAACCTACGCCTTTAAGCCCCCCAGCCCCACCTTAGCTAGGCCCGTTCTCTTCCGTGAGAATGTATCCCCCATAAGCCCTGCTTGCACACTAATAGACTCCCTGGTCTTTAATTCTTTGCTGCGTTGGCGAGAACTGAGTTTCTGGGAGTTTCTCCTGTTAACAAATCCAAGCAGAGGTACTGAAGCAGCGAAGTACAAACTACTGGGGGTGGTGGTGGCATAGAGCAAGAGATAAGGCAGGACCAGGTCAGATCGTGGATAGCCCAGAATGCCATTCAAGAAAGTCTGAACTCTAGACAACTGAGAATGGCCAGGTCCTCTAAACAGGACAGTGACCTGATCAGATCTGTGGCCAGGCCAATGCCTTTGAGACAGGCCAGCAGGCCAGAACAAGTGGAATAGAGAAACTGAGACAGTTGAAAGGCCAAGCAGTTTACAGCCAGCCATGTAGTCAATCGCAACATTCTATCTTCTCTAACCAAGGACACTTAAGAGTAAATGATTTATACTTTTCCTCCCCAACCAGAGAGTAAATAGCTTAAACCAGCCTACTCAGGGACATAGCAGAAATCCAAATAGTGCTATTTTTGCCAAGCACTCCCAAGGACAGATGAAGTTAAGAGAATAAATCTTACTTTGGCATATCAGCATAAAGTTGATGAATATTCTACTGAGATCATCCACTAAGACCTTCCCTAAGCTCCTAGCCTTTAAAAACCCTCGAAACAAAGGACCCAGGGTGCCCTCTCCCTTCTGGGAGCACACTAGCCTCTTTCCTTCCTGCCTCCCCGACCTTCTTCACTCACAGGCATGCATCGCCTGAACCCACAGGCCCCCGGGGGAGCAATGGGCAGCAGCAGCCCCTCCCTGGCTAACCCCCTGAGCCTGTCTCCAAGGCCCCTTTCCTCTGACTTCCCAGTGAGTCAAAGCAGCCTCTCCTGGGCTCACTTCTTTCCTATAACATTTTTAGGAAGCGAGAGCAGCCCCACTTGGGCTCTCCTGTTGCTGCTTCTGTGCTAAGCCCTTCCTTGTCTCACTGTCCGCAGCGTTCGTACTGTCAATCACCTGGCTCATGGTGTGAAATCTTTCCTACATGAAGTCAAGAACCCACACACTACCGACCGGCTGGCGGGTCTCTGTCCCATAACACCCCGATGCTACTCCTGTTCCCAAATACCATAAATAATTCATTCTCTAGGAAAAAGTGTATTTAAAAGCAGGCTTTTACCTTGTAAGGACAATGAGCCCAAGCAGCTGTTTTTCACACATCTGGGTAAAGCCAGCCGTGCCAGTTTGGTAGCAGAGACCAGTCATGAATTCCAGAACAGTCTCATTCCGGAGGATTTTATAACTCACATCTGCACTAAACAGGAGCTTGTTTTCAAACTGTGACACAGAAATGGCAAACCCAGGCCAAAGGGACAACCTTAAAAAATATAAATAAAAATTTAAAAATTAAGTTACATCAGAAAAACAATAAACATTTTTATTTTTTAAAATTTTTATTGTATTTTTTCCATTACCAATATCCCCCTATAACCTTTTCTGCTTCCACCTACTCCCCTACGCCTGCAGCCACCACACTGAACATTTTTAAATGGTCACTTCTCTAGATTTTTATGAAATAATTTTTTCCTCCATCTAATTTCTTCCAGGTGCTAACTAAAAACTTTAGCTATTTCCAGCTGGAATGTCTTTAAACATATATTAAAGATAAAATCTATTCCTGCAGAGCAGGTTTCTCAATCCTGATACTACTAACATTTTGGACTGGATGATTTTTTTTAATTAATTAATTTATTTTTTCAAATACATTTGCCTCTGCCTACCCCCCACCGCTTGCCCTTGCCCCCTCCCTCCCTCCTTCCCTCCCTCAGCTCGTCCCCTTTGGTTTTCTCCATGAGTCCTTGCTATATGTTCCTTGACTTGCCCCTTCCCTTCCTTTTCCCCGCTGCCCCCTTCCCTCTTGTCTCTGCTGGTTTCTTTTCCCTTCAGTGTTGCTGGTCTTATTTTCCTTGCATCTTTGTATTGTTGGTTAGGTTCCGCTTCTAGGTGAGATCCTATGGATGATTTTTTGGTTAGGGGGTGTTCCGCACGTTGCAGGATGTTCAGCGTATCCTGGACTCTACCTGCTGGATGCCACTCGCAGCCCCGAGCTGTAACAACCCAAAATGTCTATAGACATTGCCAGATGCCCCCTGGAGGAGAAAACTCCCCAGCTGAGAACCACCGCTGAAGGGCAGATACATTTACGGAGAGCCACAGCATGAAGACATCCGTGTGCAGGAAAGCACACTGACTCCGTGGCGAAGACAGTGGAGAGACTTAGCAATGAGACAAAGAAATAACTGAAATGGTATCATGTACAGACATACAAAAGAAACTGTAGCAGAGGCTACAGCTCCTTTTCACATTTACAAATATTAAAGACTGGAGCCTTAAACAAGAAAAAGTGACCAAAGTGGCACGAAAGAATAGACAATTTTTTAAAAATCATTTCAGTTTATATTTTGTGTACTCTGTTCACTGTGATACTAAGCCAGCCTTCATCCACTCCAGCTCAGGACCTGTGAGGATTTCTAATCCATATGGAAAGATAAGTGATGAATAGCATGCTTTACATAGATCACTCTGACAGACTGAACTAACACATGGAAAGCCCCAATTTTTCTTCCACCTGCGGAAGTCCGAATACCCTGCCCTCATCATTAATTGATATGGAGAGATCTGATTAAAATAACTCAGATCACTGGGGAGAAGTAGGGAGGGGCCGTAGGAGGAGTTTGCCAAGCCAATTGTGGGCAGTCTAGGATGGGACTGGCTGAGAAGCTGAATGTCTCCAGAGCCAATGGAAATAAAAAGAAGAGCGCACTCTCTCTTCTGAGCTGTCTCTGGCTCGGGTTCTCAGGCCTTTATTCCTCGAGGATGCCTGGGTGATCAGGATGCCTGGGTGACTGTGCTGCAGCTGCGTGCATTTCCCAAAGGACAGTATTTTGCATGGGAAGGAACTCTGGGCACAGCCTAGGACCAGGCTGGCCTGGCAGGGGGTGGCAGTTTTATTCTTTGGGTGTTCTAGAAGGGATGAGCTCTGAGGCAGAAGCCTGCCATCCTTCCAAAATTGTATATTATGTTGTTCTTAGTTTGTAAACTAACCCTATAGAAACAAGATAACTAATAACAGGGGAAAAGGTAGAACTCAGGTGTTGAGAGGTTAGCTTTAATTGATAGGCTTAAGTAGCTGCTTTTGAGTAAAGACTCCTTTTCTTTATCACCAAACTTTTGCCTCCGGGATTTTTGCCTAAAAGACTTTGGCAGGCAGCAGAATCCAGCTGCTGTTCAGTAACACTATCTTTATGCATTTCTCCCTTTCCTTATACATCTGCCTCTGGGCTGCTGGTAGCTTCTGTCTTTAGCTTGGCCATATACTTGGAGAGCTGAGTTACAACTAGTTGAAGACTTAGCCCAGCACTTTCTCTGCAGCATCTGCTTCCCAGTTTAGGGTAAAAATTCTGCATGTGTTCCTAACAGCTCTCCCTAGGAGTAAACTCCTAAACTTCCCTAGGAGTTTATAGTTGGCTTGTTTGTCTGACCTCTGCTTACCCACTAATTTCATGTCAACCAACTGGGCTGTGCTAACTTCCTGTCAACAAGAAAACAGAGCACCAGCCCTGGCTACTGTGGCCCAGTGGATTGAGCCCCAGCCTGCAAACCAAAGGGTCGCTGGTTCGATTCCCAGTCAGGGCACATGCCTGGGCTGTGGGTCAGGTCCCCAGTAGGGGGCACGCGAGAGGCAACCACACATTGATGTTTCTCTCCCTTTCTTCCTCTCCTCCCCTCTGTCTAAAAATAAGTTTAAAGAAGTTTATTAAAAAAATAGAAAACAGCACCAACTATGTAGTATAACATAATATAGCTTATTCTGCGTTCATTATTATCAGACATGGAAAATTCAGTTTCTGAATTCCTTCTAGGATTTATGATAATGATCTACCACACTAATATAAGAAAACTGGCTGCTAGCTTCACTTCAACACTGTTCTATAAAAATCTTGAAAATTAAAAACAAATCCATTTATTTTTCCTGCCATGTACCCTCATAGGAGGCCCAATAGTATAATATTGCATCATAACTTATGATACTCACATTATTACTATTTCAGAGTAACAGAAAATATAAATAAACCTACTTGTGCTGGGGAATTTCCATGGGCTCAGAAGGCTTATAGAAGTTCCGTCCAATTTGGTACATGGACAACTTCTTTAAGATCCTGCAAGTATATATATGTATTTTTTACTCTTTGGTAAACATCAGTGAATAACAGTGTAATTCTAAGTTTGTACCCACCCTAAACATAATGATAAAAATATGTAGAAAGTACAGAACTCTCACTCTTATAGCACAGGAAAGTTCAGATACTAAATACACATCTGAGTGTAATAACAGAACGATCGTTTCTTCATATTTGAGAATGACACCACTGAAATTTTTATCTTCCTGGGTTTAACTGCAATGATAAGTACGCAGTCACTTAACCGATTACAGCTGTGGTTTTAACATTCTGGTTAGCATCAACGGAGGCAAGCCATGTCTGAAGGCACTTCTGGCCTCTTCCCTGTTTTGAAATGAGGAGCGATGTTTCCAAGGGAGCTGCTCAAGCTGTCTGGGTGCTACCAAAAAGCATGGGTGCCTCTTAAGCAACTAATCCTGGTCAGCTTTGGAATGGGGCACTCACTGACCTGAGGCTTCCCAGTGCCTGCAGGAGTTTCGAGACAAAAAACAGGGGCCCCAACTGTGTGACTTTTGGCTCCGAATGTCACTGAGCCTCAGCCCCCTCATTTGGAAATGTGAATTGTAATAGCATCTGCTTCAGGGCACTCAAGTGAGGTTCAAATAAGATGAAATACAAGTGAAAGAGCTTTCTAATAGAAATGCACCTTCACAACGTTAGCTGACTTAAAACGGCCCCCTCTCAGGACGGCACATGTAAGACTGGCTTCTGAAGAGCGTGACACAGCACTGAACCGAAGCCCGGGCAAGACCTAAAGTTAATGCCAAGAAGTCTGACCAGAATGACAAAAACGTGTAGGGGAAGTTCCTTCATACACACTACTCAGCAAAACCCAAAACTCTCATCCATATCTGTCCAGAGGTCAGTGTTGACCAAAGAACTTGAATCTTAGGTGAACAGCTCATCTTATTGGACCGTACCAGTAGCATAGAAAACAGTGGTTTGCATGCTCTGTGTACCCACGTGTCCCCTGGTAAGCTTGCGAAAAACATGGATTTTCAGACCCCACTCGGGAAATTCTGTTCACTGGGTCCACTGCGGGGTAGGGAATCTGCATTTTACCAAGCCCCACTCAACCCCTAAGATGACTTTGAAGTAAATGATCCACATCAGTTTGAAGAACACTGAAAAGTTTAGTCACCACCTTCCTTCTGTCCCTCTGCCCCATCCCCAAGTAAGAGCAGACTGCAGATGGCAATGGCCTTTTTTACACTAAAATAAATCAACTGGGAGAAAAACAAATGTTTCAATACTAACCCAGACACACCCAACTTTTAAGAGAAGGGGTTCAGGATACAGAAAAGAAGAGAAGGAAAAAGGCACCCTCCCTGCTACCCCGGAGACAGCACAACCTTGAGTTCTTTGTCTCAATGCAGATAGTAAGGGCAATATGATTAAGGCCGTTTAGAGGCTGCGATGCGTTGTGCTGCACATCCTTGCACAAGTACATGGAAAATCGCCCTATGGATGACATCGTTGCTGGCATATTGCCTACAAAATGGTTGATTATCTTACTACCCAGGCTCTGTGCTGAAAGGCATCATTATCCTAAATTAAATTCACATTTAAGGCGCCTCACTTTTTGAAGATGATGCTGAAGACCTGGATGCACACAGGGGAACTTGCCGGCAGCTCTTGCGTCAGAGTGATAGTCATCTTTACAGCCTCACCTCTTCGAGTTTCACTTGACAATTCTGTGACCTGGGAAAAGAAGTGCTTAATGTGCACTTTACAGATTATCCCCAAATGTGCAAAATGCAGATGTGATGAAGCCATCACAATCTAATACACATTAACATAAACAGAACTGCAGGTGTTACTGTGTGAATAATACTGTAATCAACGCATTACATTTGGAAGCGTTACTGTCTCTGTATCTTGCCAATTCTAGAAAAGCAGCACATGCTTTTACTCTGCAACTCCTTGGTGGAGAATCAAAACCAGACTCAGCATTCAAAGACTTAGTCCAAAGAGAATTCCAGAGCAGTGGTTCTTGACGTTTTTAGGGGGTGAGGATGGGGAGTGGTGAGAGAGGTCACAAATTATTTTGAGTATGATAAAAGTTACATTCTTCCAAGAAAATGCCCCATATGTATATATCACAATGATGTACATAATGTGTCCACTTTCAGGGGCTTCATGGATGCCCAGAAGCCTATCCTGATCATCCTGGGTTCATGGATATCAGAGTACAGCCTCTCAAAAGTTTATTCATAAAAGAGAAGAGCAGAAAAGAGAGGAAGAAAGCAAAGGAGAAGGGACAGACAAGAGGGGGAGTAAATGTGGGGAAAGAGAAGTAAGTGGTGGAATTTTAAACACATAGGAAATTTAATTTTACTGACTTTTGAGGTCTAGAGAAATCCCTAGGGTTCTTATGATCTAGAACAATAGTCTAACAATGAAATGAATGCATGAATAGGCTTCTACACCAGCTGTCCAACTAAATTTAAAGCTCCTTCCACCAGACAGACCTTCAAACAGATTTTAAGAATAAAAGAATAAACAAATCAGTCAATTAAACTCAATAATCAAGGATTTTTCAGAAGGGTGAGGAATTAGAAGAGATCAGTTCATTAGCAAACCTTTATGTATTTTACCCTTATTTTCTATAAAGTGTAGTTTTAACCACTTTTAGGTTGAACGAAGAATGTAGGGTAGGGCCCTGGCTGGTGTGGCTCAGTTGGTGGGAACATCATCCCATAAACCACAGGGTCATGGGTTCAATTCCTGGTCAGGGCACATGCCTGGGTTTCGGGTTTGGTCTCAGTAGGGGCACATGCAAGAAGTGACCAACGGATGATGGACTGATGTTTCTCTCTCTCTCACACATCAATGTTTCTCTCCCTCTTCCCTTCCCTTTCTCCCCCTCTTCCCTACGTGAGGATTTAAAAAAAAAAAAAGGATGTAGGGTAGGAATGGCTCATTGGCTCACTGCATGGAAACAAAAACAGGCACTTTCCCAGGAGCTGACATATTTCATTGAGACGATCTCTTGCTTCAGAAAAAATTGTAGAGAAATCAGAGGTGGAGAGCTGCAGAAAGGGCTCATCGACATCTGGGAGAAGCCTGGCAGCCAGGAGAAATGAGGGGCTCTCACACTGCCACAGAGATTTCAGGGCAAAGAATTAAAACAAAGAAGGATGTTGTGGTGAATGGTTGGGGTGGAGGGCAGCTGATGGTCCCCACTAAGACCTCTATCCAGGAACTGTATTTCTAACAGCCATCTAAGAGCAAACTCATCTCACTGGCACTCCCTGCACCTCCCCCACCAAAAACACCAACTCCTCCTTGCTTGCTTCCTGGGTCTGTTGGACCCTGCACCATCCAGCGACTGGGCTGTCAGCCTCGAGTGAGCTTTCACTTCCCATCCACCATCCACTATCTAATCAGTTGGCAAGTCTTAGCACTTCTACGCTAGCAATGCCTCCAATCTATTTCAGCTGTTCCATTACCATTCATTTACCACAGGGCTTAAGTTCAGTTTGGAACTGACAGACCCTGCTCCTCTGCCCCTTGTAGCCCATGTGATACGGAGCAAGTTACATCAACTCTTTAAGACTTTCTCCCATCTTTAAAGTGGGAGTGAGTCCAGGGCTGTGAAAGTTAAGTGAGGTAATTCACAGATCTTATCCTTACCTGTAGCAGTGCTTTGTACCTTTCTTCAAGCCTTTTGGACATTCTTCCCCGATAATTCCAGTGACACTTTATTAATAATTTTCCCACTTTCTCATGTTAAGCATTCAAAAGGATGTGGTCAGAGGAACTGTTATTTAACTTAGCTCCCATGGACACTCCTCTCGATGGCTTCAGTGGCCCACGGAGCAAAGTCCCTGTTGCTCAACAGGACACTTAAAGTTCTCCCTGCCTTCTGAGTCATAACTTCCATTCCTTCCTGGCCAACCCTGAGCTTTGAGAATTTTCTAAAACATGCCCCTCACTTCCCAAAATTGTGTCCTTCCTCCTCCTTCTGGCCCTTCCATCTAGGAATACAGCACCACCACCACAACCCTCCTTCACCGATCCAAATCCTACCCTCAAAACAAATTATCACTCCCTCTCAAGTGTCCTGCTGGAATGATCTTTCCTCTCCTCAAGCTCTGTATGTAGACCTTAGGCAAGATACTTAACCTCTCTAAGGCTCCAGGGGTGATGAGAGGATTAAATGAGATCATGCACCTAAACAGCCTGGCAGAATAAGTGCTCAACAAATGTAGCCTGGTGGGTGCAACACAAAGTTTAGATCTGCTCAGCCCAAGAGGGATGTGCTGGGGCAAACCTCGACAGCAACCAAGCATAGTGCCTAACACCTAGTAAGAGCTCAGTAAGTGTTAGCATAATAAAACTACTAGTTATTACGCCATTTATTTCATTCTACCTTGCACTGCATTTATCTGTAAATAGCTTCAGTACTAAATGGAATATTTTTTGACAAGAAGAGTCTTTTGTTATCAATCCTTGTTTCCTCCATAGTGAAACACTACATGAAGCATTACAGGCACACAGTAGGCTCTAAGCATAGAATGAACGCACGGGAGTGGCATATAGAAGTGATTAGTGATAGGAACCTACACTGTGACCACAGATGCACAGATGGGATCCAAAAGACAGTGGAAGACCTGTAGGCAACAGAAAAGGACTTCTGGAATGGCACTACTTGGGAGCTCAATGAATGAATTAGGGGAGGAGCTCTTTCAACTAATATAAGTACCCAACGAGGTGGTTCATAGTGCATGAATGAGAGTGCAGGGGTTAGCCTCAGTCAATATTAAGACCAGAATAAGGTGAGGTAGTAACATCTTCATTAGAACACTTTCTTTTTACTATTTCTTTCCCACTGTCGCTGGGTGGCAGGCCATGTATGGATAAGGAATAAGACAACACACTTTTGTCTAAACCCAGTATCACCTGTGTCTCAGAAATGAAATCAACAGGCCTGATATGTTAGACCATGTTTTTACCATCTATTTACTCACCTGCCTCTTCATTAAATTCCATCTCCAACAATAAGGTGTGTGGCACTTACTACATGCTTATTTTGAATGAGAAATGAATAATATTAATGAATATTAAATGAATAATATTGAATAATATTATTCCTAACATCTGTAAAAGTTCTCCACTTAGGTATATTAAGTAAACTAGATCATTCAGGATGAGGGGGTATATAATAATTTTAATATATCTAAATTTCCAAGTTGTTATTACAAATGTATCTATAAGCAAGATGATTTTAAATGATTACAGTGCATTTGAGATATCATTTAAGCATGAAAGGCCATATTAGCATGCTATCAACATCTGGTCATATGACAAAATACTGAATGATCAATAAGAACCTAAGATAAATAAAAATGTTTCTAAACTTACAAGTCCATATTTTTCAAGCCATTAAATTTAATTATTTGGTATAATGTTAAAGTTTCATATTCAGATGAAATAAACACTCAAGTAGCTCCCATAAATTTCAGGATCTCATAAAATTATAAAGGTCCCAAGGCTGTTGTTCAGAAATGCATTTCTTGAGGAAATTCACAAAGATTTACATGGAGCTAGAAATGTATGCTATTGATCCCACTCTGCTCAAAACACTGAACTAAAGAATTAAGTTTTCCAAGGCAAAAAAGTATAAAATTTTAATCCAATGCTCTGTTTTAATTTTTCACACAGAAATAGGCTCTTTTTCCTTGTAATTTTAATATTGCTTTAGAACAAAGCAAATGATAAAAACTTCAATACCAATATCTTTGTTTCAGGACTAAAAATGGATAAAGGAATATGAATCATGCAATGGTCACATGATTAAATGTATCTTTAAGATTAATATCAATAACTCATATTTCATATGATGAGACAAAACATGAAATAAATGACAGGTTTAGAACCAGAGATTAATGTAGAGCTATTAGAACACATGGGCACAACTGTGCAGGAGCAAAAAAACCCCAATAAATTTAAAGTCCTGAAGCTGTAAGCTGAACGGTGTTTCTTAAAGTCTTATCTATTTTGGGAAAAGTTGAAAAAAGATGTCTATTTCAAGGACATTTTACAAAAAAAAAATGGTTGAAAAAACAGTGTTTGTATTACAGCTCTAATTTTTAAAATGCCAGACCATCAGTTCCCTAATTAAGAAATCAATCACTGATAGGGCTTAATTAGGAAGTTATTTTGCTCTCCGACATGAGAATAGGAAAGAGGAAAGGAGTGAGTGAACACTCATTGCAACTGTCATGAAAATCAGCTAACCTCTTAAATATACTCAGATGAGCCTAAATATATGCACATGTGTGTATGTAGGTATTAAAAAGTAACTATGCTATACCTTTTCTTCTAGCTTTTGTGAGAGAAAAAGGATGGTACCATCAAATGCTTTTGCTCTGTTGGAAAGTTCCCTATGGCTATAAAGCAAAGCAATTCTCACGCTTCTAGATTCCAAATCTGGCATATATGTCACATGATACTGGTATAGCTGCCAGTCCTGAGGCAAATCTAAACTAAAGAGATTTGTGACCAGTTTCACAGGTATTCCACTGGAACCTGAGGAAAAACAAATAAAGAACATTTTTTAACAACCACAAAAAAGTCACACCACATTAGTATCAACCACATCATTTAAAAATGTATTTGCATGTGCATAGTTGTTGGTGTAAAGCTAGCATTCCTGTTCAGTGACACAAGACAAGCTCTAATAACCTGTAGCCTGATAACCTCTTGGAGTCCCATTAACATAGGTTTGGGAATTACAAAGGGATTACGCACGCCTCATGAGAACATGAGAGCAGACACTGACATTCTGGTCCCTGGGAGAAAGGAAGCATCGGAATTCAGCTACCCTCGGACTCCTCCCAAAGCTAGGATTATGTGAGATTCAAATTAGGTGGACTAACATTTTAGGATGCTGCCCTCATGTTATTTAGACATGGCCCATTCTTACCATGAATACAACGCCAGCCTCTTGGAAATCCAGATCATCAAGTTAACTATACTTCTGAAAATCCTAAACAGTTCAATCGGAGGCTACACCGCTCTCCCAATCCCAGAGAAGGTCCTCAGAGATTGAGGGGAGGGTGGGGAGGAGAGGCAGAATTAACACATCTCTCCTGTGTGAACACAGGGCTTCTAGTCTTCTATTATTCCACAGGCACCTGACAGTGAGGGGGCCCTTATGTGCTTCCAGGAATTCCATCCCTTAGGAAATGCTTTATTCACCTCCTCAAAGTCTACAGCACAAATTCAGAGATGGCCACGATATAGCTGGTCAGTGCTCAAGGTGGTCTAAATTCCCACCAAGACAGAATCCAGAAGGGCACTAATGAGGAACTTCTCCCCTCTCATTGAAGGGAGTCATCCAGTGTTTGTCTTACAGAAAAGAATTGTATCAAATAGGCACTATTTTGTTTTTCTCATGGAGGAAGTGGAAACATAAGCCCCCAAGTTGGTAAGAAAGAAAAAGTACAATATCATATGTGCCTTGGTATTCCCTCAGTTTCCACCTGTGGTATAAATCTGTTAGGAGCAAGGAATTACTGTGCTATTTTAATTAAACAAAAGTTTCTTTTGTTCTTTCAGATCCAGAGGCAATGGCAACATATTTTAGCTGCTCCTATGAATGGACAAAGAGAAGTCATCTAGAATGTCAGGGCTGGCAAGATCCTTCGAGATCATCTACACCAGTATTTACAAACTGTGGTTTGCATAATCATGACCCATTAGCCCTGCAGTTATGAAAGTACTTGGGGCAAACCACTATGTCTCATGAGAGGACTAGACCACAACAGAAGTGGATCAGAGCCCCTTGCACGCAGTTAGGGCAAGCGCTGTTATGTGAAAACTTGTTTCAGTTTTGTGTAGGTACTTGTATACGGCTGGATAATACTCACATATCTATTTCTTATTTTGCTGCATGGTTTTTAAAAGTTTGAAAAAGACTGATCTGCATTAGGGAGCCTTAACGTCTGGGAGGGAGTCACAAGCCTTTGGAGAGTCCAGTGAAAACAAGAAACCTACTTCCCTGAAAATGCATATGCCCACAATTCTGGGTGTAATTTCTGGGCTGAGCCTGGAATCTGGGCTAAGAATTCCAGAAATAAGCAATATCTTTATTTTTCAGCTGACGTAAAGCAACATTATTATTCTTATATAGGAAAAGGGTTGGGAAAGAGTCAAAACATCTTTTTTAAGCTCTTTCCAAAGGTAAGGATAAAATCTTTTCAACAAATGAAATGTTGTTTGGGGGAAAATATTACTATTTCTATTAATAAAAGAGAGAATGGAGGCTAAAACAACTAGTATCTAGAAAATACCTTGAATAGAGAAGATGGTCAATAAATATCTTTTAAGTCAATATATGAACACATTTATTGTATATCTAGGAATTAAAATTCCTTAAGCAAGATTTGGTGACATTAGAAAAGTTACATAAAGCCTAGTTACCTGTTTTGCGATCTCTCACATGGGCCAGTTTCTCTCTGATACAGACACTCAAATCCATGAAATCCTGTCTAATTTTCCCACCTCTTTCCATGAGGGTACATTCAGCATTACCCGAAGATAGTCCACTTTTATCTAAAATATGAAGAGAATGCCATAATAGCTCATATTTTATTCTAGTGATATTCTTTACAACTACTACATCCAAAATGCATCTGAAACCAAAACTCAGACTTTTGTGGTTTTTAATAACACTGGCCCACGTTGCTGAAAACAATCATGACCATACAGAAGTCTTCAGTGTAAAAGTTAAAAATTGTGGAGAATACGTGTTTTGTTAGGAATAACAGACCTTGAGTTAGTCCTCTCATAATATTTTGGTCTGGTCTGATTCTCCTCTTGGCCAAGAGGAAGCTCTGTCTCCTATGTCCCACTCCATAGACACTTATGGAGAGTAGCTCTCCCTCCTTCAGCTCCTGTGTAACACCCAGAAGACCAAGAGTGTCCACACCAATCACAAGCAGGGAAACGCCCCGAACAATGTCATCAGTTTTTACACTAGATCATTCCCTTGAGAATGAAAGTCAACATCACCTGGGGGCATAGCCCTCACAGTTAGGTTCTAAAAAATATTAAATTAAAATCCAATGACTATTTTCTATTAAAAGGAGTACAAAGAGATGTTGAGTTTTATTTTTTATTGTATTTTTCATTACCATTTAGTCCCCTTACCCCCCTCCCCCCACGGTCACCACCCTGTTAACGCACGTCCATGAGTCCTTTTTCCTCTTTGTTCATTCCCTCCACCCTCTACCCTCAGCCCACCTTAGCTGTCAGCCTGTTCTCTATCTATGAGTCTGAGAGATGTTGATTTTTAGATACAACTTTGGCTCTCTGAAGACAACATGCAAATATAAAATACAGAACACTACAGCAAAGTGATACGGCTCATAGTATGACAAATTGCTAGAACTCTGATTTGACCACTGACCTTTGATAGAGTCACTGAATGCAATTACCTCAAATGGCACCATTACTTTTGCTCAAAACTGCTGTCCATGCCCTTCTCAGTGAAGTCTGCATCTCCCAGGAAAAATCACAAAATTTACTTAATTTTAAAAAATTATTCTCACTAGATTATCCCTGTCATCACCACTCATGGTTTCAAAAGATGTTGGATGGTTTCTAAAAATTCAATCATCCATAGAATATTAGTTGCCAGGGGGTGACAGGAAGGGGAATGGGGAGCTACTGTTTAGTGAGGACAGAGTGTCAATTTCGAAGGATGAAAAAAGTCTAGAGATGGATGGCGGTGATGGTTGCCACTGGACTACATTATTAAAAATGGTTAAAATGGTAAATTTTGTGTTATGTATATTTTACCAAAATTTTTAAAAATAAATAAAAATTCAATCTACCCTCAACAGATGAAGGGTTTCCATCATTTGCTAGTGACAAGAATGTGTAACAGACATGGAAATAAAGTCCCAAGGAGAAGTTGGGATAAGGTTTGAATGGTGGCAGTAGCATTGCCTGAGAGCAGGTCTTCTGTGAGTTCAGATCACAAGGGGTACTTGAGCAGGGCTAGAAAAACCCCAGCAGAGCACAAGAGAGCGAGGCATAAGATGAGTGGAAGGCCTGATGATCCTAAGAGTCTAGAAGAACCCAAACACTTGGAGATTCCATGGTTATTAGCAATTAATCACTTGAAGGTAACTTCATGGTCAGAGCAAGGGACATGATTAATAGATTTCAGCAGTAGTTGTGGGCTGAAATGCACATCCTCAAAATTCCTATGTCGAAGTCCTAACCCCTAATATCTCAGAATGCAACTGTACTTGGAGACACAGTCTTTAAAGAGGTAGTTAAATTAAAAGGACATCATCGGGATGGGCCCTAATCCATTATGACTAGTGTCCTTACAAGAAGAGATTAGGGTACAGGCAAGTACAGAGAGGAGATGATGTGAAAACACAGGAGGAAGACAGCCAGTCATCTAGGCCAAGGAGAGAGGCCTCAGAAGAAATCAACCCTGAAGAAACCTTGATCTTGGACTTCCAGCATTATGGACCTTCAGAATTATTAGGCAGTACATTTCTATTGTTTAACCCTTCCAGTTTGTGGCGCTTTGTCACGGTAACCCTAGCAAATTAGTGCTTTGAGCATGCCCATTCACACAGTGTGATAGTGACGACTTGGAGTAGCATGTTGACAAGTATCCTGAGGGTAAATCTGGGTTTGCATGGAAGAGAGCTACCATCAAATGGTGATGTCTACCATGAGTGGGGAAGGAAGAGGAGAGCAGTGGCAACAGTCACTCCAAGTTTCTACTATCCCTATTCAAACTGATGGCACTGACATTTACATATCAAAGAATTCTTAAATATTTTTTCAAAATTATTCAGTGGAGAGAAAGAATCTGAAAATTAGCTTCCTATTATCTGTGGATTCCCAAATGCCAAGCGCTGTCAGCAAATTCAGCAGCAGACTCTATGTTTGGGAGTCCCAAAGAAACACAACAAACACAGGGGATCCTACAAGAAAAGGTAAATGTGATGCTCTAGAAGGGACCCTGCTGTTGTAAGGCACAGTGGACTCCTATTCCTATTCCGTCCCAGCGGAACAGAACTGAATGCAACAGACTACTGCACTTACATTGCTGTGAAGTCCTGCTTGTTCCCATGAAGTTATTGCTGGACGATGCTTCATTGTCACTAAGAGCAGCAGATATAGGCTAAAATGGGCAAAAAAAAATTTTTTTTGGTCCAATTTGAATGTTAATACATAAACCAAAAGGTTATTGCAAAATAAAAACCATATCATGCCCTAAGTCATTAGGCTGCCATGAGCTAATGTTAACAGGTCATACTGAGAGCTGATAAGAAATTGCCCATCCTAGAAAAAAGGATAAGGATGAGCTATAGCACTGTCCATTCATAAAACTTTGATTTTAGTATCAACTGGGAGCCAGATACAGCCGTTAGAGCCTGGAGGTGTAAAGAGGCAGCGATGAGACCCTTGAGTCAGCCAGGTCACCAGAAGGAATGTGGTCCAGAGGAGCACAACCTCATGCTTCTATGGCCCACAGAACATGGGCCTCCAATGTGAACACGCTGGTAGCAAGAAAATAAACTGAGCCCAGAGCATCTGGGTCACCAGTCAGATGACTTTCCTAAATAAAGTTTTCCAAATGAGTTCATAAAATAGGTGAAGGGAACCATTAATATTCTCTTTTTTTTCTTTTTTAGTGGATTGATTGGGGTGACATTGGTGAATGATATTATATAGGTTTCAGGTGTACAACTCCATAATGCATCATCTGTACACTGCACCACGTGCCTTCATCACCATCTATCCCCCTCATACCCAATTCCGCCTCCCCACCCCTACTCCCAACCGTTAGTATTTTCTATTTTTAAAAATATTTTCTTGTTGATCATAACTACGCTCTTTGTTCAAGAAGAAATATATCTTGGCCTGCTAAAAAAATGTGTGAAGGCAAGAGAAGTCCTTTTCATGATAGTAAAAGCATAATGACCAGACTACTCACTTGAATACAATTCAAAAGATTACTCCAAATACTAAGGGTATGTAGTAGTATCACTCAAAGGTCACTGATTTGCTGGTCAGTTCGTTCTAGTTGCTTAAGTCTAGCAAGGAGCCACACTCACAGTAGTTGATCAAGAAACAGTGGTTGAATCAAAACCACATCTGTGTCTGAGATTACTTACTTTTATATATGAATTAACAAGAGGAATCATATTAGATTATATGCCATATAACGCTACTGCTGATGGCACGATTTTTACCAAGAGACTTAAACATAAATCAAGTAATTAAAATTCAGTAAGTAGAAAAGGACAGCATGCTTGCCTCTAATTTTTAGTTCTCATCGCTTACCAAAATGTCCACATTAACGCCTTTCTCAGATAAGAGCCCAACTGAAAAAAAATATGAGAAGCCCTGGGAAGACTCAAATTTGAGAGAGAAGATAACCAACCCCACTGCTTCCTAGGAGAGAGGAAATGAGGGCAAGTCCAGGAAGGCGACATATGAGAGAGCAAGAGAATGCCAGCTAAGCACTGCACGCACCGTGGGGCAGGCCTGGGGGCTTCCCACCTCCGTGGGCTTGGGGCTGCGGTTGATGCCTCGAGCCCTAACGCGGGCGCGTCCACTCATGTTTCCGATGAGCCCAGAGCGACTTCCAAGGCAGCAAAGTCTCAATTAGGGTATCTTCTCATTGGCATCCAAATGGCGCAGCTGTAACCACAGGCAGTGGAGGGTCTGTGGCTCCCGCTCTGGAAGCGCCTCGAGCACTCTGCGTGGGTGGAGGAAGCACGCACCGCCCGCGGGGTTACGACGTGGAGGGCAGGGAGGAGCGCACCGTGGGGTGGGGCAGCGTGGGCGGGAAAGCGCGTGGAGGGGAAAAGCAGTGCAGAGTCCCAGTGCAGCGTGGGCGGGAGTCCCAGGCCTCCCCTTCCTGCCATCCCTTTCTTTCCCTTTTCTTTGCCCACTCCCAATTTGGCCTTATCCAACTTGCTAGTTTTCGCCCTCCTTATGTGTAAGGTTGCACACACTGTTACTTTTTCCAGTTTGGATTTTCTGCTTGCTAGTGTGGGTAAACACCTTTTTTTCATGTATGGGATAGCTAGAGCTTTCCATTCTGTGAATTGTTTTTTTAACATACACACCTGTTTGTATGTATGAAACTGGGCTTCTCGTGTATTCCATTTTGATTTGGAAGAAATTTTATCCTTTTTTTGGTTAACATTACAAATATCTACTCCCAGTCTATCATTTGTTCATTTTGACTATGAAGTCCTTTACCTAACCAAAATCCTTAAATGTGATATAATTAAATATACCAATCTTTAATTGTATGGTTTGTGTATTTTGTGTCTATTTGTAAGAAAATTTTTCCAGCCCTAAGTCTACAAGGACATATATAGCATTGTCTTGTATCCTTCAGGAACACACACACACACATACACACACACACACACACAATCATATACATATGATGTGAGGAGGGATCTAACTTTATTGCAATATAGTGAGCTGTTTTCCCCTAACATCATCTATTAAACAATGTATGCTTTCTGTAATGGTTGGTGGACCTACCTCCAGCAAAATTCCCATATATACCTATATCTGGTCTGTGCCTTTTACATTTCCATTCTGCTTATATATATCTGCTCTGCACCAGTACTTTTACCACTTTTTATTATTTTTTTTATAGTATTCATAAAATCTGGTGGAGCAAGTCTTTACTCTTTGATTTTTTTCAATTATTCATTCACAAACTGTATTCTTCCATATTAATTTTAAAATAAGATTGTCAAGCATCTCTAAAATTCCTGCTCAATTTTTCATTGGCTTTGTATGGAATACATAAATTAATTTGGAAAGAACTGTCATCCTTACAATGCTAGATTTCTCCATTTATTCAGTCTCTCTTTATGTCCTCCACTAGCATTTAAATTTTTTTCTATAAAAGTCTTTTGTGTTGTGTAGTTTCCAGAAATTTTAGTTTTTGTTATTACTGTGGACTGTACCTTATTTTCATTATGTTTTCTCATTAGTTATTTGTATACACACATTATGTTAATTTTTGAAAGTTGATGTTGTTTATCAAGCTTGTTGAATTCCTTAGATCTTATAGTTTGTCTTTTGATTTCATTGAGTTTGAATGCAGGTGATCAGATCATCTACAAATAATAACGATTTTATCTCATCTCTTCTTATTTCTTTTTTTAAATCACGTTGGCCAAGTTTTCTTCTACAATGTTGAAAGTTACTGTGATACCTGGCATTCTTGTCTTCGTCCTGATTTTAAAGGAACTATCTCTGCTTTGATGTTTGCTGTAAATATCTGGTTTATAGTGTTTGTCATTTTAAGGAAGCTCCCCTCTATTCCTAGTTTTCAAAGATGATTTTAATCATAAATATGTACAGAACTTTATTAATACTATTGTGGTGTATCAAAAAGTTTGTGCTGAGGTTATAAAGGCACAGCACAGACAGTTCGTGAGCGTAATTTGAGGCCCAGAAGAAGGGGCAATAAGTGGGTAAATGTGGTTGATGCATAGAGGGGAATGCTAGGCCAACAGTCACAAACAACGACCTAGAGGTACATTCAGCAACATGAATAGGTTCTCTACACAATGTGTTGAATGAAGAAAAAACAATAAGAAATTGAGAGCTACAATACATGTATCTGGGTATGGACTAATTTTTTTCAAGTAAACATATATATTCAAGGATATACAACAGACAATAAATTGAGTACCAATAGAAGGAAGAAGAATAGGAGTGGCAATGGGGGAAACAAAAGAGAAAGCAAAACGTAAGACAGTGTAAAACTTGCCCAGACCCATGAGAATCATGTACAAGGAACTGAAGAGTATGATTCATTCAACTTCCTGTATTTAGGCCCTAAAATTGAATACATATAATATCTAATGTTTATTAAATATCTACAGTATGCCTGGCTCTAGGACAAACATTTTTGTCCCCACTTTATAGATGAGGAAATTGAAGCTTAAGAAACTTGGTGTTATAGCCTGTGTGGCAGAGCTGTAAGAGCAGAAAGTGGGGGTGATCATAAACTGCTATATTAAAAAGAAGGGGCAGATGGAAAACAGACTCTAGAAAAGAAAGCTACTTTTGAAAATCTGTGCTTTGTTTCTGAGTAGGAGAATAACTTTATCCCCATATTTTCCAAATGTACACCTCCTGGTAAATTTGAGTTGCTTTGAGGAGACAGTGCTGCAGAGTGACTGAAAGGTTGAGAATGTATGTAAGTGACTTTAAATAATTAAAGCCTTTCACTTTTCCAAATACTGGCTCATTATAAAACCAGAAGTATCAATTATTTTTAGTTCTTACCTGCATTTTGAAATTCACTATTATGATTATTTTAATGACACGCTAATCAGTCACACTGTGCTCTCCACATAGGATTTTTAAGGGCACTTACATATTCCCTGTATTAGGGAGGCAGTAGAGCATGGTTCTGAGTATACGGGGGCTGTAGAGTTGGACGGACTGGAGTTGACAACCCACCTCCATCACTTACTAGCTTTCTGGCCCAAGAAGATGTACTTTATCTCCTTTGGCCTCAGTTTTTTCAACTATAAAATGAGAATAAGATATGCCCGGATTTCTCAAGCACAGTGCTATCCACCTTTTGGACCAGGTAATTTGCATTGTGAGGAGCTGTCCAGTGTATTACAGGATGTTTACCAGTATCCTTGCCCTGTACACACTCCATGCCAGCAGTGCCTCCTCTAATTGTGAGAATCAAAAATGTCTCTAGACCCTGCCAAATGTTTCCTGGAGGGCAAATCATCCCGGATTGAGAACCATTGAGATATGGCTACCTCCCAAGGTTGTTTTGAGAATTAAACGAAGTAACAATAATGATGTTTTGTACAGTGTTTGGCATGTAATAAAAACTGGATAATTAATTATTATCATAAGAATGTATGATGGACAAATTTTACAAAAATAAATTTAATACAATTTTTGCCGTATTTTGTATTTTCAATCTTGTGTCAAATCACTTCATGTGCACATACAGGCTCATGATGTTGGCAGTCCTAGACCACTCTTGTCTTGTGACACCCTTCACCTTTTCCTTGGCCCACACTTTACCTCCAGTCATTGCTGTGGTGATCAGCTGTGCACAGTGTAACTAACCTCGGCGATACGGCACATCTCTGACTTCTGTCGCAGGGCTTCATTCACATCATGCGGGCAACCCTTGGCCACTGTGGGGTGAAGAGGGTTGGATGAATATTCCCTCAAACATTCATCAGGCAGAGGATTTTGTGGTGCATTTTGCAGCTTCACAGAGAGTCCTTGTGTGACCAAGTACCAGATGCCACAGTGGTGATCTGCTTAATAACACATGGTTGGGTTGGCTTCATTCTTTCCTGTTACCCTCTTCCCAGTCCCTCCCTACTGTTCCTTGCAAACATGTCCCAAAATAATCTACCTGCATCTAAGCCCTTACTTCACGTTCTATTTTGGAGGGAACCCAGGCTAGCATAGTTCAATAAGAACACAGTATTCAGTCATTGAAAACGTATTTCATGCCTACTGTGGTCTCAAGTGTTGGTATCTGAATTTTATCAATGAGGAAAAATACAATTAAAAATTTTAACTAAACTCATTCTGCAAGTCAACTACAAAGTCAGTTTTTCCATTTTTCAGTCCAGTGGCTGTAGCTTAAATGTTTTAATGATTTTTATTAGGGAAACCCTGTAAATAATGACAACCTACAAGTACAGACATGTTCCCATCAGCTAATTTGTTCAGTATCCATGGTTCCTGCTTGTACAAAATTAGTTTCCCAGGTCCAAGTGTTGACGATGGAACACCTGTGAAATTAGTGCATCAATGATATTGTCTTCTTTGGGCCTTATTTCAACAACACTCACTGAATTAATTTTGAACAGTCTCATTTTTTAACTTTTTATTTTGAATTATGTAACATTTATAGAAAGTTGCAAGACTAGAGCAAAGAATCTTTCTCACCAAGATCTGCCAGTTATCATTTTGACATATTTGCCTTACTATTTTCTCTCTTTATGTGTATATATTCTTCTGACCCATTACAAATAAGTTGTAGTCATCATGGCCTTTGACCCCCTAATATGTTAGTATACGTTTGTTAAGAACAAGAATATCTTCCCATTCTCTTATACAACCACAATACAGTCACAAAATTTAACAGGGATTAAACACTATTGTCTAATCTACATTTCATAGTTAAATTTTAATGATTGTCTTCAAATGTCCCTTATAATATTTTTTTCTTGCTCAGAGTACAGCTAGGTTAGGATAATTCGTTGCATTTGGTTGTTATGCCTCTTTACTCCTCTTCAATCTGTACCATGAAGTCTTGTTCTCCCATTAAAAAAAAAAAACAAATTGCAAGAAATACACTGTTAAAATGTCCAGAGAAAGAAAATCTCCATTATGCACTAGATGTTAACTGCTTAACCATTATGTTGGAAATCTTTTCAAACATATTGCCCACCTCCTGGTCTTCAGTGAATGTTCTAGAGGTCAGGTAACTCCTGGAGAACTGACTTTGCAAGCATTGAATATTTTGTGTTATCAAGGTATTTCTGTTTATATACATGGACTCCCTTTGTTCTCCAGATGGATTTAAGATA